ATATATAATAATTTTTTGTGTGTGTCAGGAGCGACTTGAGAAACTGCAAGTTACTTCTGGTGTGAGAAAATTGGCTGCTTGCAAGGACATTGCCCAGAGGATGCCCGGATGTTTTACCATCCTGTGGGAGGCTTCTCTCATGTCCCCACATGGGAAGCTGAAGCTGACATATGGGAGCTCACCCCCCCTCGTAGGATTCAAACCTCTGCCCTGTTGGTCTTGAGTCCTACCAGCATGAGGGTTTAACCCAAGTGTCCTCAAACTATGGCCCAGGAGCCAGATACAGCCCTCAAAGGTCATTTACCTGGCCCTCACTCAGGGTCAACCTAAGTCTGAAATGACTTCAAAGCACACAACAACAACAATAACAATCCTATCTCATCAGCCAAATGCAAGCCCACACTTCCCATTGAAATACTAATAAGTATATAGTTGTTAAAATTGTTCTTCATTTTATTTATTGTATCGTTTTTAAGTGCTTTTTTGCACTTTTTTGCACTACAAATAAGATATGTTCAGTGTGCATAGGAATTTGTGCTGGTACGGCTGTACCAGGAGCTCCAGCTTTATTTTCTTTCTGTTATCTGTTTTGCAGTCATAGGACAGGCCTCCTGTCCATCATAATTAAGCTTTGGTTCCGCCCCTTGTTCAGGGAGGGAAAGGGGGCCATTTTTAGGCAGTTTCACATAAGGAAGCTAAACTATAGGATGTAGACCAGCTCGTCCCGTAGAAAAGTTTCCTTTCTCATTAACCATCCAGGGAAAAAGGAGCTTCCAGGGAAAAGGAAATTCCAGGAGAAAGGTTCCAAAAGCTCTGGCTGAGAGCTCACAGCCTCTCAGCCTCACAGCGTCAGAGGGAACAGCCCTTAAGTTTCTAAGAATTCTTGAAGGGAGAACAGCATTACAGATCCACGGATCTCCAGCTGAAATGTCTTCAAGCCTTGGCTGGTAGGTCTACTCGATACCCAGACGCATTTGGAGTCGGTAGTAGGTCCCACACTGGTGAGGCATAGATAGAAAGCAGCCTGGAAGAGGTTTAAAAGGGTTTTTCCTACAGAGAAAGTTTAGTTAATCAAAGTCAGGTACTAGTCCATTGAGGACTAGACTAAGAAAGCCTTGAAGTGTTGTTTGAACCATTGAAGATTTGTTGTTTGTTCCATAATAAAGACTTTGTTGCATCATCAAAGACTCTAAAGACCATCACTTCTGAAAAATCCCTGAGAACCTCTCTTTGAGGCCCCCTAGCTTCCCACTGGGCTTAAAGTATGCGTCCTATAGAAAAGTACAGCTGTTACAGGCCCAGCGCGCGACAGAACAGAATTCATTCATGTTTTTTTTCAAATTAAAATCTGGCCCACCAATAGTTTGAGGGACTGCGACCTGGCACAGGGACCCATTCTCCATCCCCCCCAGTCCCAGAAGGCCTCAAAGCAATCCTTCCTGAGGTCCCATGCATTCTGGTTCCCTCAAACAATCCAGTCTGGCTCAAAATGAAACACCAGTTCATGGACAGGGCCCTTTGGGGCTCTTTGGTTCGGCTTGGGTGCCCTTGGGAAGCCTTGTGATTGGAGGAAGCTGGCTTCATCCTTCAATCCCTGGGAGGCCTGCATGATCTTTCCTGCCTCCAGGCAGCATCTGTACTCCTCCTCTTCTCTTTGTGAGTTTTTTGTCCTCCTTGCAGCCTCTGCAGGACCCGCTCTGGCCATTGGAGGGAAGCAGAGCCTCAAGAACGAAGGTAGAGAAGGAGAGAAAGGGAGACAGAAAGGCTGGGCACAAGGGGGTCCAGAGGCAAATTGCTTGGGCGCCCTGTTCCTGCAGAAGGAAAGCTGCAAGTGGATGTCACCAGTCTGGACAGAGAGAAGCCTGGGGTTTGCACCTGGGATGGGGAGCTGCCACATGCCAGGGGTTCTCCACAAAGCATGGTTGCTTCCTTCTGTTGGCATGACTTCTGCAAGGCCCCTCTACCCTGACCCAGAGGCTGCCTCCCAAAGCTGTTCAGAACATGCCTGGGGCTGAAGAGAGGGTTCCCTTGTTGCAAATTCCCCTTGATGTCTGCTGAAGCCCAGAGACCCTGTCTAGGCCCCTTGCCTGCTGCTGGAGAAGGCCTCTCCACTTCCAGAGCAGGAATAATAGAATCATAGAGTTGGAAGAGACCTCATGGGCCATGCAGTCCAACCCTCTACCAAGAAGCAGGAATATTGCATTCAAAGCATCCCTGACAGATGGCCATCCAGCCTCTGTTTAAAACAGTGGTTCTCAACCTTCCTAATGCCGTGACCCCTTAATACAGTACCTCATGTTGTGGTGACCCCCAACCATAATATTATTTTTGTTGCTACTTTATAACAGTCATTTTACTACTGTTACAAATCATAATGTAAATATCTGACATGCAGGATGCATTTTCATTCACTGGACCAAACTGGGCACAAACACCCAATACGCCCAAATGTGAATGCTAGTGGGGTTGGGGGAGGATTGATTTTGTACTTTGGAAGCTGTAGTTGCTGGGATTTATAGTTCACTTATAATCAAAGAGCATTCTGAACTCCATCAGCGATGGATTTGAACCAAACTTGGCTCCCATGACCAATGGAAAACACTGGAAGGGTTTGATGGGCATTGACCTTGACTTTGGGAGTTGTAGTTCACCTATCTCCAGAGAGCACTGTGGACTCATGCAATGGTTTATCTGGACCAAATTGGCACGAGTACTCAATATGCCCAAATGTGAACACTGGTGGATTCTGGGGAAAATAGATCTTGACATTTGGGAGTTGTAGTTGCTAGGATTTGTAGTTCATTACAATCAAAGAACATTCTGAACTCCACCAACAATAAAATTGGCTCAAACTTCCCACATGGAATCCCCATGACCATCAGAAAATATTGTGTTTTCTTATGGTCTTTGGCGACCCCTCTGACACCCCCTCACGACCCCCTCAAGGGTCCTGACCCCCAGGTTGAGAAACACTGGTTTAAAAGCTTCCAAAGAGGGAGCCTCCACCACACTCTGAGGCAGAGAGTTCCACTGCTGAGCGGCCTGTTGGGAGGATGTGACCCATGTCCTTTTGGGTGCTACTCCCATTGTCTGTCTGAATTTATTTATTTATGTATTTCTCGCATTTCTATGCCATCCTTCTCAACCCCTGAAGGGGGACTCAGGATAGAATCATAGAATCATAGAGTTGGAAGAGACCTCATGGGCCATCCAGTCCAACCCCCTGCCAAGAAGCAGGAATATTGCATTCAAATCACCCCTGACAGATGGCCATCCAGCCTCTGTTTAAAAGCTTCCAAAGAAGGAGCCTCCACCACACTCCGGGGCAGAGAGTTCCACTGCTGAATGGCTCTCACAGTCAGGAAGTTCTTCCTCATGTTCAGATGGAATCTCCTTTCTTGTAGTTTGAAGCCGTTGTTCCGCATCCTAGTCTGCAAGGAAGCAGAAAACAAGCTTGCTCCCTCCTCCCTGTGGCTTCCTCTCACATATTTATACATGGCTATCATATCTCCTCTCAGCCTTCTTTTCTTCAGGCTAAACATGCCCAGGTCCTTAAGCCACTCCTCATAGGGCTTGTTCTCGAGACCCTTGATCTCGATGGCTTGCAATGGGCCCCATTCCGAAGCCATTACATAACAAATTACAAATTAAGAACCACAATTAAACATAAAAGCATAATTAACAATACATGGTATTGTGGTAAGGAACAGAAGGAGCGTTGACTTGCTGATGTAAGTTTTAGTTGCCGATGGAAGCTTCTTCTTCTATTGCTACGTTTGGAATTGATCAGCTTTTATATTATTGTTTTACCATCCTGTGGGAGGCTTCTCTCATGTCCCCACATGGGAAGCAGAAGCTGACAGATGGGAACTCACCTCTCTCCACAGATTCAAACCACCAATGGAATGATGGGAGTTGAAGTCCAAAACACCTGGAGGGAGGGCCCAAGCTTGCCCAAGCCTGTGCTAGAATGTGTGGCCATCCAGTTCCTTAGGAGGGGCCTTTGGAGAGCTAGGAAGAAGACTTGATGGAGATCTGGGTTGCTGTAATGCAGCATTTCTCAAGCTGGGGGTCGGGACCCCTTGGGGGTCTTGAGGGGGTGTCAGAGGGGTCGCCAAAGACCACCAGAAAACACAGTATTTTCTATTGGTCATGGGGTATCTGTGTGGGAAGCTTGGCCCAATTCTATTGTTGGTGGGGTTCAGAATGCTCTTCGATTGTAGGTGAACTATACATCCCAGCAACTACAGCTCCCAACTGTCAAGGTCTGTTTCCCCCAAACTCCACCAATGTTCACATTTGTACATATTGAGTATTGTGCCAAGTTTGGTCCAGACCCATCATTGATTGAGTCCACAGTCCTCTCTGGACGTAGGTGAACTACAACTCCCAAACTCAAGGTCAATGCCCACCTAACCCTTCCAGTATTTTCTGTTGGTCATGGGAGTCCTGTGTAATGCACCTCAGAGGTCTCACAACCTCTGAGGATGCCTGCCATAGATGCAGGAGAAACGTCAGGAGGGAATGCTTCTGGAACATAACCATGCAGCTCAAAAATCTTACAGCAAGTCAGTGACTCCAGCCATCGACAACATATTGATGGAGATCCTTCAAACTAAGGTTGGAGGGGAGGGTGTGCAGAGCCTCAGCCAGGTGCCTCATCGCCATCCGGGGCTGCAGGGAGGAGGAGGACCCCTAACCCTAACCCTTAAGGTTCCTGCCAGGGTGGGCTTCATGGAGAAGGTGAGGGGGGAGGGAGCAGCATTGCTCCTGGCACAAGGAAGAGGCGGGAAGTGCTGAGAGTTTGCCTGCCTGCCTGAGCGAAAGAGGGGCCCAGAGGCCGTGCGCCTGGCAGCTTGGGAGCCACGAGGCTCAGAGGCCCTTCCCTCCGCGACCCTTCTCGAGCCCTTGAGCTTCACGCAGACCTCGCAGCCCCTCCCTCTCGGCCTGCCCCCCCCCCCCTTCGCTTTTCCCGACGAGGGGCGCGGCCGCGAAGGGTTCCGCTCCCTCCCTCGGTATTCTCTCCCTCTGTGCGACCCTCCGGAAGGCAGACCCCCTAGCCGCCTCTCTCCCTGCCCGCCTGCTTGCCTCCCTCCCGCCAGGCGCGGCTCCCATGCGCCCCTCCGACCGGCGACAGAAGAAGGAGGAGGAGGAGGAGGCGAGGCGGACCCCGCGTCTCCTCCGCAGCTCCCGCAGGTCAGAACGGGTGGAGTGGGACGGAGGGGGGGGGGTCTTTGGGACAGGGTTAGGAGAGCATCCCGAACCTGGAGGAGAAGGAGGGAGGGAAGGGGGGCGTTAGTGCGTGTCGGCCTCCTTGCTCTTTGCTCCGTGGCCCCTTCCTCTTCCCTGCGCCCCCCCCCCTTAGCAGAGCCGCCGCCAGCGCTTGCCTCCCCCTCCCCTCTTTTCCCCTTTCCCTCCGGCGGCGGCGGCGGTTGATTAATGTGTTGCTGCAACAAAGGAGGGGCGGCGGTGGCGGCGGCTCGGTAAGGCGGAAAGGGAGAAAGTGGGGGGGGGGGGGTGCAACTGCGCTGCGTTTTCCCAGGGGGAGGGGGAGGGATGGTGCCACCGGTGGGCCCCCCTCCTCCCCCTCCTCCCCCCTTCCCCAGTCATTCATTGGGCTGGGAGGGGCGCTTCTGGGGTCTCACTCGGTGACGTTTGTCGGCCTCTCCCTCCCCCCCCCCCCAGAAAAGGACCCTCCTGACCTCCTTCCCTGCCTTCCCCATTCAGGAGGGGCGCATCCCCTACTTAGAGGGTAGAGGGAGGGGGACAGGTGTCCTCTTCTGCTTCGGACCCTTCCCTCTTCTCTCCCCACTTCCCGGCCCCTTTTGCAAGAGACCCATAAGAAACCTCCTAGAAATCAAGGAGGAAGGAGCAAAGTCTTTCCCCCCACACATACACACTGCCCTATTCAAAGGCTCTTGGAAATGAGGGAGGAAGGGGCAAGGTCTCCCCCACAAACACACACACACACCACCCAATTAAAGCTTCCTGGAAATGAGGGAGGAAGGAGCAAAGTGTTTCCCCATACACACACACAGGCCCATTCAAAGGCTTTTGGAAATGAGGGGGGAAGGGGCAAAGTCTCTCCCCCACCCTCCACACACACACACACCACCCAATTCAAAGCTTCCTGGAAATGAGGGAGGAAGGAGCAAAGTGTTTCCCCATATACACACACAGACCCATTCAAAGGCTTTTGGAAATGAGGGGGGAAGGGGCAAAGTCTCCCACCCACTTCCCATACACACACACGACCCCACTCAAAGGCTCCTGGAAATAAGGAAGGGGCAAAGTCCCCCACCACCACCTCTCTCACACATACCACCCCATTCAAAGATACCTGGAAATGAAGGAGGAAGCAAAGACTCCCCCCACAAACACACACACACACCACCCAATTCAAAGCTTCCTGGAAATGAGGGAGGAAGGAGCAAAGTGTTTCCCCATACACACACACACTGGCCCATTCAAAGGCTCTTGGAAATTAGGGAGGAAGGGGCAAGGTGTCCCCCCCACACACACACACCACCCAAATCAAAGCTTCCTGGAAATGAGGGAGGAAGGAGCAAAGTGTTTCCCCATATACACACACAGACCCATTCAAAGGCTTTTGGAAATGAGGGGGGAAGGGGCAAAGTCTCCCACCCACTTCCCATACACACACACGACCCCACTCAAAGGCTCCTGGAAATAAGGAAGGGGCAAGTCTCCCCCCCCCCCCCCCCCACACACACCCCCCCTTTCCAAGAGACCCACAAAGCCTCCTGGAAATGAGAGAGGAAGGAGCAAGGTCTCTCCCCCCCCCCCCCCCACACACACACACATGCAGACCCATTCAGCCCTCTCACACACTCCAGCACACACATACACAGAGACACACACAGGGAAGGAAGCGGATGAGTGCTCTTTTTATGGCCTTCCACTCCCCCCCCCTTTCTGCACAAAGGCCTCTCTCACACACAAACACAAATACACAGAAAGAGACCCCCCAGGGCTTCCTGCTGCTCGCTCTCCTCCCCAACCCTACCCCTCCTCCTTGACCCCTCACAGGTCAGGACAGGTCTTGCCTAGGAAGGCCCCCTCCCCTTCCATGATCCTTCTCCTGAAAGGAACCCTGGAGGGGCAACTGAACCCCTGGGAGATTGCCTCCTCCCTCGCAGGAGCTGTGGTTGTGTGGTTGTGTGGTTGTGTTGTTGTGTCTGCGGCCTGATGCTGGGTTTTGAGGTTTGGGTTTGGGGAAGCGGCGGTGGCATTGTCCCCGTGAGTCAGAGCGGCCCGGCTGCTGCAATGGCGGGGGCTGTGAGTCAGGCTGCCAGGATCGTGGTGCCAAAATGGAGTGTTTTGCCAGCAAGTGCAGTGGAAGGCGCCTGGCAGCTGCCCACACGGCCGGCCGTTGCCCGATGTTCTTTTGGTGGCTCGTGGGTCCATGCGGAGAGGGCCCTGTGGTTCCCAATGGCACTTGGAGGTAGTGGTGATCAGGGCCCAGGCTCAGACAGCGACACCAGGGAGAGCATCATCCCAAAAGGTGGTGGTAGCTGAGCATGGGGCCGTGATCGTCACTGCCTCCAATTGTCATTGGGAGAGGCAGCCCATGGAAGAGGCTCTTGGGAAGGGAAACACACCCTTCTACTCAGACCAATTTCCAGCTGAGAATAGGACGTTGCCAGTTTGGGGCAGGGGATTACTGCCAGGAGAGGGAACTGTGGTTCAGGGGCTTCCAAGGGGGGGGGGGGGCTCCCAATGGCCCTTGGAGGCAGTGGTGATCAGGGCCCAGGCTCAGCCATTGACACCGCATAGGACATCATCCCAAAGGGTGGTGGTGGCTGAGCATGGGCCATGATCATCACTATCTTCAAGTGCCATTGGGAGAGGCAGCCCATGGAAGAGGCTCTTGGGAAGGGAAACACACCCTTCTACTTAAACCCATTTCTAGCTCAGAATATGACTTTGTCAGTTTGGGGCAGGGGATTACTACTAGGAGAGGGCCCTGTGATTCAGGAGCTTCTAAGGGGAGGAAAGGAGCTCCCAATGGCTCTTGGAGGCAGTGGTGATCAGGGCCCAGGCTCAGCCATTGAAACCACGGAGGACATCATCCCAAAAGGTGGTGATGGCTGAGTCTGGGTCATGATCATCACTGCCTCCAACTGCCATTGGGAGAGGCAGCCTATGGAAGAGGCTCTTGGGAAGGGAAACACACCCTTCTACTTAGACCCATTTCCAGCTCAGAATACGACTTTGTCCGTTTGGGGCAGGGGATTACTACTAGGAGAGGGCCCTGTGGTTTGGGGGTTCTAAGAGGTAGAAAGAGGATCCCAATGACCCTTGGAGGCAATGGTGATCAGGGCCCAGGCCTAGTCACCTCTACCGTGGAGGGCATCCCAAAAGGTGGCAGTGGCTGAGCCTGGGCCCTGATCATCACTGCCTCCAACTGCCATTGGGAGAGGCAGCCTATAAAAGAGGCTCTTGGGAAAGGAAACATACCCTTCTACTCAGCCCCATTTCCAGCCGAGGACTTTGCCAGTTTGGGGGGGGGGGAGACTTCCCAGCATGAGAAGGCCCTTTGCTTCAGGGGCTTCTAAGGGGAGGAAAGGGGCTCCCAATGGCCCTTGGAGGAAGTGGTGACTTGGCCACCGACACCGCAAAGGGCATCATCCCAAAAGGTGGTGGTGGTGGCTGAGGCTGATCATCACTGCCTCCAAATGCCATTGGGAGAGGCTATGGAAGATGCTCTTGGGAAGGAAAACACACCCACTTGGCCCCATTTCCAACTGAGAATGGTACTTTGTTGTTTTTTGGGCGGTGGGTGGACTGGAAGAGGGCAGCATGTGAAAGACAAAGGATGGAGGCCCAAGACTCTTCTAAGGCAAAGATAGAATGAGAGGGTGGTAGGCCAGAGGTCACCATCCGTGAGTGACACTTTTGGCCCCAGTGCCCAGAGAAGCTAAGCGACTTGGCATGACTTGGACCAGGGGAAGGTTTTGTCCATGTAATATGGACATTGTTGTGGAGAATGAAAGGGGAGCAGGAGGCTGGGGGAGAGAAAAGGTGATAGTGAGGCAACCCACATCCTTCTGAAAGGGCAATCCAGTCAAGGATGGGGTTTAGCTGTTACCCCATTTGGGCCAGGGCCATATGCATATCCTTCAGCCACCACCCCGTTTGTTCTCCCTCCTCATCAGGTGCGGAAACTCTGCTGGGAGGCACTGCTGCTGCTGCGTCCTGGAGGGATGGCACTGAGAAGAGACTGGGCCACAAGGCCCCCAGCTGTTTCTAACCCCGGGCTTCTACTGCTTCTGCTGCTGCTCTTAGCTTCTGCTGCTCTCCCCGCAGAAGGGTAAGGTGGCCCTTGGATCTGGTTCGGGAAAGGGGTGAGTGGGGCTGGGGCCTCCTCTGCCCTTCCTGGGGGCTTCCAGGCAGAGGGCTACATGTGCTGCCAATCCAACCAAAGCCTGGTTTCCCAATGGGTGCCCAGATGGGAAGAGGGAGTCTTTCAGATGCTAAACACAAACAGAGATAGAAAAGGGAAAAGCTCACTCAGCAGAAGACGCTCTGGACAAAGCCCAAGCAGAAGACGAGACAATTGGCAGAAGCTGCAATTAGGAAGCATTCAATTAAAAGGCCTAGTGGGCCTTAAAAGGAACCCACATTGCTTCCCCTGTCCACACCAGATCTGCTATAACTGCAATTGATTGCAAACGCATTGCCTACAAATGAGATTTAGGGGAAGAGCAGCAATAAGAGCATAATACAGAAAGCACCGGAAAGCAGCTATCTGGCAACAGGATCATGAAAAGTGAATGGACAGACAATGAATGGCCTTCCCTAGGGGAAAAGATCAATGGCAGAGCAAAGCTGAGTATCTTTCACTGACTGGAGAGCTTAGTCCCACTTGGCCAAATGACAGAAGGATGGGCCCTTTCAGCCAAAAAATCCAAATGGAGGTGGACGTCTCCTTGATAAGGCAGCTCTCCTTTTGTTGAGGAATCTGAGCTGTTAGGCTCAAAAATAACACTCCGTTGGGGTGATTCCACCATAAATATAGCAAAGCACAGAAGTAAACTTCATAGTCAGCAGAAACTTACGTGTGGTCAAACTGGGATCAGCTTTTATTCTTAGGATGGCAAAGGATTGCAGAGTCAGTAATTTAGGGTCAAAAATATTTACTGAAGTAAAAGAAACACATTCTTGATAGAAAAGGTCTTGGAGCTAACTAACTTACTAAATATCATCTTCAAAAGAAGTAAAAAGGGTAAAAAGTTTTTAAAAGATCAATGCAGCTACATTTTGCCTAAAGAGAGGGGCAAAATGAGTCCTCACTGGAAGGAAGAAAATGCAAAAGAAACAATGGTGGAGACCACATGGTCAACCTAGGGCAATAACACTCAAAAGAGGAAGTTCCTTCACAGAATTTCATTCCTTCATATTCAAAGGGGAGGAGAGGAAGAGGCAAAACAAATCCCTTTTGGGAAACATGCATAGGAATGCCAAGGGGGGTGTTTATCTAGAACCACTTTGGAAAAGAAAGGCCTGACTCTGACTGCCTCCCCCTCCTCCCACTTGCCACTGCAGCTTTGCCCAGAAGCATGGCCCAGATATCATTGATGACGACAGCAAGGACAACATCACCATCTTCACCCGCATCTTGGACCGGCTGCTGGACGGCTACGACAATCGGCTGCGGCCCGGCCTGGGAGGTCAGTCCATCTTTCCTTGCATTCGGTCTCGCCTGAAGGAAGGGTCCAAAAGGAGGAGGCAGCCAGCTGGGGGTCAGGCCCAGGGAGTAACCCGTGGGATTGGTCTCCCTGAGCCAACAAGGGCAGGAGTCAGCCTGGGGCACAGCTTTCCTAGGCACATGCCATGCCCTTTCCTCTCCCCTTCGTACTTGGAGTGGCCACCAGGTCCCTTCTTCAGTGCAAGGCTTGGGAGAGAGTTAGAAAGGACCCTGGGAACCCAGTGATTGGAAAACCTACAGAGAGAGCAGAGAAGAGTGTATGGCCTATGGAAGAGAGATGGGTTCCACTGCCTTTCTTTCTTTCTTTCTTTCTTTCTTTCTTTCTTTCTTTCTTTCTTTCTTTCTTTCTTTACCATATTTATATATCGCCTTTCTCAACCCAAAGGCGACAAGGCGGTTTACAGTCAGCACAATTCGATGCCCCAATAACATTAAATGCAATTAAAACATTTAGGATAATAATAATACAAAACTAAAAAATACATAAATCCTCAGCGTCTCCTTACTAAAATCTTCCAATTGCATCATCAATCGTTCCTTAGATCTATTTTTGCCTCTTACAGTGCATTTGCAAATGCTTGCTTGAAAAGCCAGGTTTTAACTTTTCTACGAAATGTTAGGATGGAGGGGGCCCATCTAATATCCCTAAGAAGGGCATCCCACAGCCGAGGGGCCACCACTGAGAAGACCCTGTATTTCATCCCCGCCAAACGCCTCTGTGAAGAAGGTGGGACTGAGAGCAGGACCTCCCCAGATGATCTTAGAGTCCTAGATGGTCCCAGCTGCCTACTCTGGATGGCGAGGCACTATGCCTGTCATCATTGGTAAAGAGTCTGGGAGTCCTTTTGGACCCTCTGCTGACAATGGAGGACCAGGTCTCCGCCGTTAGCAGAACCACTTTTTTTCATCTGCGGCAGGCTAGACGGCTGGCCCCCTCCCTGTCCAGGGATGACCTAGCTACGGTGATCCAGGCTACGGTCATCTCAAGACTGGACTACTGTAATGCCCTCTACATTGGCCTTCCTCTGTCGGTGATCCGGAAGCTCAAGTTGGTACAAAATGCAGCTGCTCGGCTTCTTGCGGGAATTCCGATGAGATGCCACATAACACCAATCTTACTGTAGCTGCATTGGTTACCAATTGAGCACCGGATCACTTTCAAAGTGATGGTACTCACCTTTAAGGCCTTGCATGGTCTGGGGCTGATGTACCTGAGGGACCGCCTCACCACCTACCAAAGATCCCTCCATTCTTAGGACCAAGATCTATTGGAAGTCCCCAGTGTCAAGACCTTGCATCTAACAGCAACCAGACGCAGAGCCTTTACAGCAGTGGCACCATCACTCTGGAATACTCTGCCACCTGAAGTCTGTGCCTTGCGGGACTTACCAGCTTTCCGCAGGGCATGTAAGACATACCTGTTTCGACAGGCCTTTGATTTTTGATATTGCTGTTTTTAAATTGTTTTAAATTGTTTTTAAATTGTTTTAGATTTTAGCCATTCTTGTAAGCCGCTCCGAGCCCCAGGGGAGTGGCGGCATATAAGTTCGAATAATAAATAAATAAATAAATAAATAAATAAATAAATAAATAAGGAGAGATACGTTTGGACAGGTAAGCTGGACCAGAACCGTTTAGGGCAGTGGTTCTCAACCTTCCTAATGCCACGACCCCTGAATACAGTCCCTCCAACCATAACATTGTTTTTGTTGCTACTTCATAACAGTCATTTTACTACTGTTCTAAATCATAATGTAAATATGAGATATCCAAGATGTATTGACATTCACTGGAGCAAACTGGGCACAAATACCCTATGCACCCACATGTAAATGCTAGTGGGGTTGGGGGAGGATTGATTTTGTAATTTGGGAGTTGTAATTGCTGGGATTTATAGTTCACCTGTAATCAAAGAGCATTCTGAACTCCACCAGTGATGGATTTGAACCTAATTTGCCACACAGAACTGCCATGACCAACGGAAAACACTGGAAAGGTTTGGTGGGTATAGACCTTGAGTTTGGGAGTTGTAGTTCACCTATATCCAGAGAGCACTGTGGACTCAAACAATGATGGATCTGGACCAAACTTGGCACAAATACTCAAAATGCACAAATGTGAACACTGGTGGAGCCTGGAGAAAATAGACCTTGACATTTGGGAGTTGTAGTTGCTGGGATTTATAGTTCATTACAATCAAAGAACATTCTGAACTCCACCAACGATAAAATTGACTCAAACTTCCTACATGGAATCCCCATGACCATCAGAAAATACTGTGTTTTCTGATGGTCTTTGGTGACCCCTCTGACACCCCTTCACGACCCACTCAGGGGTCCCGACCCCTAAGGTTGAGAAACACTGGTTTAGGGCTTTATAGGCCATGGGTAGTGGGGAGAGAGGGAGGGGGACTGGTGGGTTGGACCTGCACTGGGAGAGGAGGGTGGGAGGGTGGGGTGGGGTGCCAGTTGAGGAAGGGGAACCGGGCAGCGGGAGGCCAGCCAAAAGTGCTCAGCTCAGAGTCACCTTGTGGGTGTGATTCATGACTGCAGGGAAGGGAACAACACTCTCCCCAGCGGCTTCTGCCAAGAGAGTCTGCTCTTGGGAAGGACGCTGGGCAGCCTCCTCTTCTAGCCTGGGAAGTGATTTCAGTGGCTGCTAGATGCATCTCTGTCTGTGTGTCAGGGGATGGACTCCTCAGAACTAGAAGGGGCCAGAGGCTGGGCAGGGCAGGAAAGAGAGGCAACAAGATCAGCAAAGATACGCAGAACCTCCTGCCCCTGTGGTTCAGCACCATTTCCTGTTGGGGAATCTGAGCTGTTAGGCTCAAAATAACCCTCACTTGGGGTGATTCCACCATAAATATAGCAGAGTACCAGAAGTAGACTTCATAACCAGCAGAAACCTATGGGTGGTGAAGCTTCTATTCTTAGGATGGTACAGGATTGCAGAAATCAAAAGTATTTATTGAAGTAAAAGGAATACATTCTTGATAGAAAAGGTCTTTGAGCTCACTAGCTAGTAAGCTAGTAAGCTAGTAAAATCTCATCTTCTAAAGAGGTAAAAAGTCCATGCAGCTACATTTTGTCTAGAGCAGCGTTTCTCAATATGGGGATCGGGACCCCTGGGAGGGTTGCAAAGGGGTTTCAGAGGGGTCGCCAAAGACCATCAGAAAACAGTATTTTCTGTTGGTCATGGTGGTTCTGTGTGGGAAGTTTGGCCCAATTCTATCGTTGGTGGGGTTCAGAATGCTCTTTGATTGTAGGTGAACTATAAGTCCCAGCATCTACAATTCTCAAATGTCAAGGTCTATTTTCCCCAAACTCCATCTGTGTTCACATTTGGGCATATTGAGTATTCATGCCAAGTTTGTCTAGATCCATCATTGTTTGAGTCCATAGTGCTCTCTGGATGTGGAGAACTACAACTCCAAAACTTAAGGTGAATGCCCACCAAATCTTTCCACTATTTTCTGTTGGTTATGAGAGTTCTGTGTGCCATGTTTGGTTCAATTCCATCATTGGTGGAGTTCAGAATGCTCTTTGATTGTAGGTGAACTATAAACTCCCAAATGACAAAATCAATCCCCTCCAACCCCACTAGTATTCAAATTTGGACACATCAAGTATTTGTATCAAGATTTGTCCAGTGAATGAAAATACACCCTGTGTATTAGATATTTACATCATAACAGTAGCAAATTTGTAGTTACAAAGTAGCAATAACAATAATTTTATGGCTGGGGATCACCACAATATGTATTAAGGAACTGTATTAAGGGGTCGTGACTTTAATAAGGTTGAGAACCACTGGCCTAGGGAGAGGCAAATTGTGCATCCTTGTAGGTAGAAAGAAAAGCAGAAGACTGGAAAAATGGTGAATGGCCACATGGCCAGCCCAGGGCAATAAAAATACCTTTAAAAAAGAAAGTTCCGTCAGAGAATTACATTCCTGCATCATCAAAGGAGAGAAGACAGTGGCAAGGAGGAAGAGTAAAGACAAAGCACTTAAGAATATGGGAGGGGGAGGGGGGAAGAATCCCTCAGCCTAATCCTATCTCTAGTCTAGCTACTCATTGAGGTCTGGAGACTTGATGACACAAGAGACTTGTGCAGTCCAGGGATGAAACTCAACATTTCCTCTCTCTTCTTTTCCTGGTGCGTGGCTGAGAAGGCCCCTACTAGCTGTGGCTGGGGTCCTCCTGTGTATTCTCCCTCTACCACACTCTGGGGCAGAGAGCTCCACTGCTGAATAGCTCTCACAATCAGGAAGTTCTTCCTCATCTTCAGGTGGAATCTCTTGTAGTTTGAAGTCATAGTTCCACGCCATAGTCTCCAGGGCAGCAGAAAACAAGCTTGCTCCCTCCTCCGTATAACTTCCTCTCATGTGTTTATACATGGCTCTCATCATGTCTCCTCTCAGCCTTCTCTTCTTCATGCTAAACATTCCCAGCTCTTTAAGCCACTCCTCATAGGACTTGTTCTCCAGACCCTTGATCATTTTAGTTGCCCTCCTCTGGACACATTCCAGCCTGTCAATATCTCCCTTCAATTGTGGTGCCCAGAATTGGACACAATATTCCAGGTGTGGTCTAACCAAGGCAGAATAGAGGGGGAGCATGACTTCCCTGGATCTAGGCATTATACTCCCATTGATGCAGGCCAACATCATCTTGTTGGTTCATGTTTAACTTGTCCACAAGGACTCCAAGAACTTTTCCACACGTACTGCTCTCAAGCCCTTTCTCCCTGCCAGTTGCCTGTGTCTGAGGGCACTGTAACAAACGGGGGAGCCACAGCAGGGAAGACCCATGTGGACATCAGCCATGGAAGCGTTGGCAAATTGTTCCAACAGCTGCTCTCCTCTGGTGTTTTGCAGATGCGGTGACTGAGGTCAAGACAAACATTTACGTGACCAGCTTTGGACCCGTCTCAGACACAGATATGGTAGGCGGAGGGGGTGTCGGTGGCAGTGTGAATGTGGCATGTGTGTCAGAGGCAGAGATGATAGGCGGTTTCCCCTCTACAGGGCAGAGGCTAACCGCCCTCCTCAGAACCCTCCAAAGAGTAATGGGAGTTGTTGTAGGTTTTTTCGGGCAAGCATCCTCAGAGGTAGTGACGTCTATTGGAACTAGGAAAATGGGTTTATATATCTGTGGAATGTCCAGGGTGGGACAAAGGACTCTTGTCTGTTGGAGCTAGGTGTGAATGTATCAACTGACCACCTAAGAGTTCTTTGCTCCACCCTGGTCATTCCACAGATATATAAACCCAATTTTCCTAGTTCCAATAGACCTCACTACCTCTGAGGATGCTTGCCATAGATGCAGGAGAAATGTCAGGAGAAAATGCCTCTAGAACATGGCCATATAGCCCGAAAAAACCTACAACAACCCAGTGATTTCAGCCATGAAGGCCTTCGACAATACATAGTAATGGGAGTGGCAGACCGGTGCATCCAAGTGGCACCCACTTGGGAGGGTCCTGCTTCCTTCCATTGGCAGCAGAGGGGCGAAATGGGCAAGAGGCTCCAAAGGGGAAGGGAAGGAGGGACCAGAGGGCTCGCTGGGAGAGGCGTGAGAGTTTCTCTAATTAGAACAGCCATGTGGAGCCCAACTAATTAGCAGCCTGCACCGCTTTCAAGGCCAAAGGGATGAGATCCAAACAGCTCGCCCTCAGAAGCTGTGGCCATTGATGATGCCCAACCTCCCACCTCCTAAAAGGCTAAGAAGGGGGATTCAGTGGGTGAGGTGCCATGCCATGCAGCAGCTCTGCTTTCCCTTCTTTCCTGCTCTCTCTCTCTCTCTCTCTCTCCCTTCTTACTTTCTGCTGGGAGGGAATCCCTCCTGCTTCCCCGCCCCCTTCCCCCTCCCCTTTTCTCTCTTTAACACCCAAGAAGAGCACCTTAATAGATGCAGCCTTCCCGCCCTCAGGGAGTATCTTATAATTACTTCTAAGGTGGAGCCCATTTGATTAAGGGAGTGTGGATAATGGACTGTGAAGAGGGGAGGAATGGAGGCAGGCAAGGCAGATCTGCGCCAACACGCATCCAATGCTCTGAGTGCGTAAGACAGAGACACCATCAGCTTTGGCCTTCAAAGTTAGTGCCGTGTTCAGAGGGGGTTTGCTCCCTTTGCCTTCCTCCGAGGCTGAGACAGTGTGGCTTGCTCAAGATCACGCCTCTCTCTGCCCCTCCTCCTCCTTCCTTTGGCTGATGTTTGCTATGGAGGAGATGCCTGAGGAGGGGAGCTCAGCTGGCCACATCTAGCCACACACGCATCATGAACACAAACACATAGATACAGACACAAATACGCACACGCTTACAGCCCCCTTGTCTGGCAGCCTCTTCTTCCATCAGGCCACCTCTGTTGCCATGGCAGCCATCATTGCTCTTCCTGCTACAGCTTCGTCTGCTGCTCGCTGGCACTTGTTGCTGGGCTTTTCTGCAGCCCCTGAATGGCTTCTTTGGGGGACAGAGATGCACTACATGCCCCACAAGCAGCCCTCCCTGTGCCAGCCCCACTGTTTGCAGAAGCACATGAGCCCTGTCTGTGGGCATAGCCCCCAATAGTGGGCAGAAGAGGGAGAGGTCAGCCAGGGAAGTTGGAGAGATGGGCACCCACATCCACATTCAAGTGGGCACACATTTTGCACTAGGGCTGGCATGGTGCCCCATTTGGAGTGACTGAGAAGCTAATGGATAGGCAACATCTGTGGCACATAGTATCCAAATCTGCACATTGAGTGTGTTTGTTTGCGTGTGTGTGTGTGGGGGGGGGGGTGTCTCTGGCAGCCCCTCAGAATGTTGGCCAAGGAAAGGTCCATCTCTTCTGGCTTTGGGCTTCTCTTGCCCTTCCTTGTCCTCCTGGAGAGGAAGGCAAGACCATAGTGTTCTTGGTAGCCAAGCCAACAGAAGAAGGAGAAGGAGAAACTCAAACTGACAGAAATATCTGTGTTGTCACCCTTTTCCCTGGCAGGAGTACACTATTGACGTGTTTTTCCGACAGTCCTGGAGAGACGAGAGGCTCAAGTTCGACGGCCCCATGAAGATCCTCCCACTGAACAATCTGCTGGCCAGTAAGATCTGGACCCCAGACACCTTCTTCCACAATGGCAAGAAGTCCGTCGCGCACAACATGACCACACCCAACAAACTCCTGCGGCTGGTGGACAATGGGACCCTCCTCTATACCATGAGGTCGGTGTGGGATGCCAGATGTCATAGTGCATGGGATGCTGTGCCTCCCCCTTTCCTCACCCAGGACTTGTAGCAGATGGCAGTGGGCTTCCCAAGGCAGAGGGGCAGGCAGGCAGCCTTCCTCGAATGCCTGCTGAAGATCTCTGCTGGCATCTTGTCTCTTTATGGCCATTGCAGGAGAGGGACTTTGCATTGCTCTGTCCTTCTCTAGCAAGTGGGCCTTCTCTTTTGCAGGCTGACCATTCACGCAGAATGCCCCATGCATCTGGAGGACTTCCCCATGGATGTGCACGCTTGCCCACTGAAGTTTGGGAGCTGTGAGTCTTTGTTGACAGAAAAACAATGATTTCTTTGTTTTTGGGGGAAGTTCTACCTGTTCCCTTACACAAAGCAGTGGCCGGTGGATTGGTGTCCATGTGCAAGCCATTGGTTGCTAGTCCACAACAACATATTTCCTGCTCTTTCTCCTTGTGTTGGCCAAGTGGCCTCTTAAGAAAAGGGCCAATGTCAGTGTATGTGTTCAAAATTGGTGGCCTGAGCCCCTTCTTCCCATGATACTTGCTCTCCCTACCTGTCTTCCTCCAGATGAGTGTCTTGAGGCCCCATTTCTGCCCTGAATTTGACTGACAGCTTTCCCCCTTCTTCTCCAGATGCCTACACCAAGACGGAGGTGATCTACACCTGGACACTCGGGAAAGTGGAGGTGGCCGAAGGGGGCTCGCGCCTTAACCAGTATGACCTGCTGGGGCACAATGTGGGCAGGGACTCAATTGAGTCCAGCACAGGTGAGAAACCTAGGGGGAGGCAGAGAAGGGAGCAGGGCCAGGCCTTGGGGGAAGGTCCCATCCCTGGCCCCTTGGCAGCAAAGACTTTTGAGCTTCGGTGTTGCTCAAACCCCTTGTATCTCTGTTTCAATCAGACACTAGAAATGAGGAGATCAAAAAGCAATAGATTTATTTTGGCGAGACAAAGCTGTTGTGTGCACAACAGAAAAATAGTGCCACGAGGCTGAGGTGCAACTTGACATTTTTATAGTTGAAGTTTCTAAAGTTTCCAAACATGCATGTGCAAGCTTTTTCCTCTCATTCACACTTCCCTGCTTCTTTGTCCTTCTCTCGGAGCCTCTTATCTATCTTCATTCCAGCAATTAAGGAGCCATGGTGGTACAATGGGTTAAACCCTTGTGCTGGCTGAACTGCTGACCTGAAGGTTGGCAGTTTGAATCTGCAAGTCAGGGTGATCTCCTATCTGTCAGCTTCAGCTTCTCATGCAGGGACATGAGCAAAGCCTCCCACAGGATGGCAACACATCCAGGCATCCCCTGGGTGACATCTCTGCAGACAGCCAATTATCTTACATCAGAAGTGACTTGCAGTTTCTCAAGTTGCTTCTGGTGTGATAAAAAAAATTCCAGCAATTTCCCCCTTTCGTTTTCCCCTCTTTCCTGTGCTCCCCCTTTTCATCTTTAGGACATAAAGGCATGTCTCTTGAACCTTCTGTCCACTACCATCTTCCCAAATTTCCTATCTAAAATTCTGTAAGTCGGGGTGAGCTCCCATCTGTCAGCTCCAGCTTCTCATGCAGGGACATGAGCGAAGCCTCCCACAGGATGGTAACACATCCGGGCATCCCCTGGGAAACGTCTCTGCAGACAGCCATAAAGGCCTGTCTCTTGAACCTTCTGTCCACTACCATCTCCCCAAATTTCCTATCTAAAACTCTGTAAGTCGGGGTGAGCTCCTATCTGTCAGCTCCAGCTTCTCGTGCACGGACATGAGAGAAGCCTCCCACAAGATGGTAACACATCCGGGCATCCCCTGGGAAACATCTCTGCAGACAGCCAATTTTCTTACATCAGAAGTGACTTGCAGTTTCTCAACTTGCTTCTGATGTGATAAAAAAATTCCAGCAATTTCCTCCTTTCTTTTTCCCCTCTTTCCTGTGCTTCCCCTTCTTCATCTTTAGGACATAAAGGCATGTCTCTTGAACCTTCTGTCCACTACCATCTTCCCAAATTTCCTATCTAAAATTCTGTAAGTCGGGGTGAGTTCCCATCTGTCAGCTCCAGCTTCTCGTGCAGGGACATGAGCGAAGCCTCCCACAGGATGGTAACACATCCGGGCATCCCCTGGGCAAAGTATCTGCAGACAGCCAATTCTCTTACATCAGAAGTGACGTGCAGTTTCTCAAGTTGCTTCTGATGTGATAAAAAAAAATTCCAGCAATTTCCTCCTTTCTTTTCCCCCTCTTTCCAGTGCTCCCCTTTCTTCATCTTTAGGTCATGGAGGTCTGTCTCTTGAACCTTCTGTCCACTACCATCTCCCCAAATTTCCTATCTAAAACTCTGTAAGTCGGGGTGAGCTCCTATCTGTCAGCTCCAGCTTCTCATGTATGGACATGAGAGAAGCCTCCCACAGGATGGTAACACATCCGGGCATCCCCTGGGAAACGTCTCTGCAGACAGCCATAAAGGCCTGTCTCTTGAACCTTCTGTCCAGTACCATCTCCCCAAATTTCCTATCTAAAGGCCTGCAGCTCCTTGCGGTCCCAGCGAACACTCCTCAGGGGCCCAAGGGCTCTGTGCCTTTCTTCCTGGCCAACACCACCACAGCAGAAAGGGCTCTTGCATGCATGCAAGAAGGCAAGCCTTGGCACTGGATTTGGGGACTCATGCCTTGGGCCCATGCCTCATGGAGGGAGCCACAGGGGGAAGAGAACATTGCCTGTATGGATGCCATACCCCTCCTGACTCACAGAAGTGTCTTGTGTATTGGGGGGGGGAGCTATATTTGGCCATGTCTCCTCTCCCCATCTGCCCAGGGACCTACATTGTGATGACCACCTACTTCCACCTCAAGCGGAAGATTGGCTACTTTGTCATCCAGACCTACTTGCCCTGCATCATGACGGTCATTCTCTCCCAAGTCTCCTTCTGGCTCAACCGGGAAAGTGTTCCAGCACGCACTGTGTTTGGTGAGTTTGGGGTCCTGGGGGTCAGGATACAGCTAAAAGGGGCAATGAGAAGCAGGGAGGGGGTCTGTAGAGCAGTGGGGGACAATTGTACCACCACATACACTCCCACCTGCAAAAAAAAATCATAAAACTGGGCTTAAAATGGGATAATTTCAACATATTTTGGTGTCTTTTTAGACCTAGGAAAAGTCTTTTAAAAAAGAAAAGAAAATCCCACAGGAAAAGAGCAGGGGTGACTTCCTGTTTCAAAAAAATATATGTTTCTTGGATCTAAGTGAGATCTGTTGTGGAAGAGGGGGCAGGCAATGAGTTCTTTGCCAGCCTTCCTGGGTTTGGGATGGGCTTGAAGGAACTCTCCAAGGTGCTGAACCTCCTACAGAGGAAGAACACTTTTGAAGGCAGAATGGAAACTTAGAGTGACCTCTTGTCCCTGGAGCCCCCAGTGACACAATGGGTTAAACTCTTGTGCTGGCAAGACTGATAGGTCAGCAGTTTGAATCCAGGGAGAGTGGGTCGAGCTCCCTATGTCAGCTCCAGCTTCTCATGAGAGAAGCCTCCAAAAAGGATAGTAAAACATCAAAAACATTGGGCGACATCCTTGCAGACGACCAATTCTCTCACACCAGAAGCAAATTGCAGTTTCTCAAGTTGCTCCTGAAACAAACAAAATAAACCATTGGGTTGTTGTAGGTTTTTCCGGGCTATATGGCCATGTTCTGGAGGCAATTTTTCTCCTGACGTTTCGCCTGCATCTATGGCAAGCATCCTCAGAGGTAGTGAGGTCTGTTGGAAGTAGGAAAAATGGGTTTATATATCTGTGGAATGACCAGGGTGAGACAAAGGACTTTTGTCTGCTGGGGCTAGCTGTGAATGTTTCAGCTGATCACCTTGATTAGCATTCAATGGCTTGGACGGGCCTGGGGGGAATCTTTTGTTGAGAGTGATTTTATGTGCCTGTTTGTTTCCCCTCTGTTGTTTTGCTGTTGTAATTTTTGAGTTTTTTAATACTGGTAGCCAGTATTATAAAATAAACCATTTTCCCTCTGAGGTGGGATTCACAGTTGTCCCAGTCAGCAGCCAGACAAGGGGCCCTCAGCTCCCCATAGATGCCCAATGCACTTGGCTGGAACACCCTGCGGAGAGACCAGGGGCTCTTCTCCTGCTGGCCCAATGTGAGGCCATGATAAGCTTCCCAACCCCTCTGGCAATGCCTCATCTGCTCCTGTGAACGGTCTTCATAGCCCCTCACTAGGCCTCCCTCGCTGTCCCTTGGCCCTTGCTGCATTTATTTATTTTTATTTATTTCGTGTACTTCTACCCCGCCCTTTTCAACCCCCGAGGGGGGACTCAGGGCAGCTTACAAAAGGCACAATTCGATGCCTGCACAGTAATACAGATAAACATATAAGACAGTAATTAAAACAGTTATAACAATTAAAAACAATCAATATATCACAGTCAATAAACTAACCTCATACTCAGCGTTCACTAACTCAAGAGTCCAAACGCCTGGTCCCAAATCCATATTTTTAATTTCCTTCTAAAGGAAAGGAGGGATGTCGATGATCTAATTTCCCCGGGGAGTGAATTCCATAGGTGAGGGGCCACCACCGAGAAGGCCCTGCTCCTCGTCCCCGCCAATCTCACTTGTAATAGAGGTGGGGTCGAGAGCAGGGCCTCCCCAGAAGATCTTAAACTCCGAGGTGGGACGTAGAGGGAGATCTGTTTGGACAGATACGCTGGGCCGGAACCGTATAGGGTTTTGTAGGTCAAAACCAGCACTTTGAATTGTGCTCGGAATTGGATCGGCAGCCAGTGGAGCTGACATAGAAGAGGGGTGGTATGCTCCCTGTATGACGCTCCGGTGAGTACTCTGGCTGCCTCCAGCTGGACTAATTGAAGTTTCCGAACAGTCTTCAAAGGCAACCCCACGTAGAGTGCATTGCAATAATCTAATCGGAATGTAACAAGAGCGTGGACCACTGTGGCCAGATCTCTTCCATCACTGCATTGCTGCAGTGATGGCCCCGCTAGCACTGGAAGGGAAACCTCCCCTCTGCCTGAGCCTCTCCTTGTCTTGTTTCCTCTCAGGAGTCACCACTGTCCTGACTATGACTACGTTGAGCATCAGTGCCAGAAACTCCCTGCCCAAAGTGGCCTACGCAACCGCCATGGACTGGTTCATGGCCGTCTGTTATGCCTTTGTCTTTTCGGCTCTGATTGAGTTTGCTGCTGTCAACTACTTCACCAAGCGCAGTTGGGCCTGGGATGGGAAGAAGGTTCTGGAGGCTCAGGAGATGAAGGTGAGGATGCCCAAGGAGGCCCAAGGCCCCTCTTGATGGGCCTTTCCATGTGTGCAGCAGGTGGAGGCCATCCCAAACCCCTTCTTTGCCTTTGCAGAAAAAGGAGCCGGTCACCCTGGCCAAGAAGACCAACAATACCTACAACATTGTGGGCACGACATACGCTCTGAACATCACCAAGGAGCCCGGCCTGTCCACCATCTCCAAGAGCGCAGCCTCCACCACGCCGGGGACACCTGCCACGGTAGTGGTGCCCCCCAAGGTGCCCCGGATGGAGGAGAGGCCCCCCGAGAACAAGAAGACCTACAACAGTGTCAGCAAGGTAGACAAAATGTCCCGCATCGTGTTCCCGGTCTTGTTTGCCATTTTCAACATGGTGTACTGGGCGACGTATGTCAACCGAGAGTCAGCCATCAAGGCCATGATCCCCAAGGATTGAAGCCAGCCCTTTACCTGTCCATGGGGCCCGGTGGGGGCTCCTTTGTTGCCTCACTGGTGGTTCGGTATCCATCATTCTATCTCTTATTCTGATTGGTTTTGTTCAGCTGCCTCCCTTCCTCTCCCTTGCAAACCAAACTGTGATTTTTTTAAACAAGGAAAGAACCCAAGAACCAAGAACACTTGTTTGTTTTTCTTCCTTTCTGTCATGTGGGTACATATGGGGCTGGGGAGTGTCCTACCAAAGGCCCTGTCTTGCACGGCACCATTTCTATGGTTCCTCTGGCCCTCCACCCCACCCTGAGCTTCCTGACTTCCTCCCATTCTGTCCTCAGTCACTGGGCTGCTTATGTTTGCTTTCAACCCCCTCCTGCAATTGTCCTGGGGGTTCGGACCCTATCTCTCTCCTCCCATCTTCTTTCCTGCTGTGATCCTTTGGCTGTGATGAGAGTATGGAGAGCTGAATGTCCCCTCCTTGTCTTAGGTAAAGATAAAGGTTTCCCCTTGACATATTAAGTCCAGCCAAGTCCAATTTTGGGGGATGGTGTTCATCTACATTACTAAGCTGAAGAGCTGGCATTGTCCGTAGACACCTCCAAGGTCATGTGGCCACTAGCATGACTGCATGGAGCTCCATTACCTTCCCTATTGATGTACTCACATTTGCATGTTTTTGAACTGCTAGGTTGGCAGAAGCTGGGGCTAACAGCAGGAGCTCACCCTGCTCCCTGGATTCAAAATGCCAACCTTTCACTCAGCAAGTTCAGCAGCTCGGTGGTTTAACCCACTGTGCCACCAGAGGGCTCCTCCTTGCTTTGGGATCCCCTTAATAGGGATTGGGACCAGCCACTGGGGTCTGCAAGGAGAGCCATGGTTGTCATTGCACTCTGTGCCTATCCTGGAAGAGAATCGCCATGCAGCAGCCATAAACACATGCCCTTTGCGGCATCATCATCACCATCTGCTGGGAGGGGGGTGTTTTCTTGTCCTGTGTGGGAATGAGCATCCCCTTCTGAGATGGGCTGTTGCCTCCCATTGGGCTCCAGATTAAGCAGCACGGTTTCTGTATGAATGGGTTCCCCTGTGAGTGGGTTGCTGTGCCGCCTGTGGATCAAGGAAAGGCTTGAATGGGAGAGAGCGGCACACGTGCGGAATCTAAAATTAAAATCCCTCCTCCATGTGAAGTCAAGGCAGATTGAGCGGAATCCAGGGCAGAGCCAGGGATGTTTTCGTTCTGGGAAAAGGGGTTTTGGGGACACGAGAAGGAAAAGCTGGTTCCCCAATGCATGGGCACTTCATGCTGTGATTGGCGGGTGGGCCTTGCATCCCCACCCATCCCAAATGCCATCTCCAGGGCTCTGTTTCCATGGGGTAACGGCTGCAGCCAGCATCCCACCTCACCTAATGGGTATTAAAGGGGTCCTGGACTCCGGACTCAGGACCCCAGAGACTTACTTACTCAGGCAATCCCTCATAGCCCAAGGATGATGGTCCTCCAAGTGCAGTGTCTTGGTGGTGGGTCTGCAGATAGCAGTGGAACCATATTCTTTATCCGCATGTTCTTCAGCAGTGAGAATATTGGTTTCCAAGTGGAAGGCAGTCCCGATCAGGGTTGGCTTGATGCACCTTCCTCTTGGCACATTTCTCCTTTTCACCCTCCGTGCGTGCCTCTTTGAATTATGCAGCACTGCTGGTCACAGCTGACCTCCAATTAGAGCCCTCAAGGGCCAGAGCTTCCCAGTTCTAGGTGTCTATGCCACAGTTTTTTTTTGTCCACAATGTTGGTGGACAGGAAAAGAGATTTGTGGAACCATATTCTTGATCCGCATGTTCTTCGGCAGTGAGGATATTGGTTTCCAAGTGGAGGGCAGTCCCGATCAGGGTTGGCTTGATGCACCTTCTTCTCGGCACGTTTCTCCCTTTCACCTTCCATGCGTGCCTCTTTGAATTCTGCAGCACTGCTGGTCACAGCTGACCTCCAATTAGAGCCCTCAAGGGCCAGAGCTTCCCAGTTCTCGGTGTCTATGCCACAGTCTTTTTCTTTTCCACAGTGTTGGAGGACAGAAAAAGAGATTTAAAGATACGCTTAAAGCCAACCTTAAAAATCCCCCAGAGAAGCCGGGAATTGTAGGTGGTTTCACTGGGGTCCTCCCCAAAAGGGCTCCCAATGCAAAGGACAGCCTCCAATCAGGCAAGAGGAGGCCTCTCCACTGCAGCCACCGTTGTCAGAAGCCTCACAATCCGATCACAATCTGAGGATGGGTCTGTTTGTGTCTTTCCAAATCACATTTCCAGAAGGCCCAGGGAACCCCCCACCCCCCGGAAACCCTTGGAGCACTTCCAGTCCTTTTGAAAATGGGGTGCTGGTTGGGAGGGGGTCCTGTTGTTTTGCTTGTTCTTTGGGAGCAGAAACCACCTGCTGAGACCAGGAGGGTCCAACCCAATATCAAATCCCCGGTGAGCGGAACCAGGAGCGATGGGCATTTTGGGGAACTGGAGCAGAACTTTGATCGATGATCAGAGTCAGCAGTGCGTCAGCAATTACATTTGACTTTTAAAATGTTGCCTTTGGAATTAAAAGCAGAAGAGCCTTTTAAGATAACGCGGAAATCAACGTCTCGTGGATTAATTACAAGGCAGTGAATTCTCACTGTCAGCAGGCCAGAGCTGAGGATTTCACGCTTCATTTTCTCCACCCCAGCGGCTGATGAGCAGCAACCTGAATTCTCAAAGGGCTCGATCCAAGGTCTCCTGGAAAAAGGCTTCCGATCCGCCTGGCTTTGAAGCGGTTGGGCTCTTTGATGGAGTTGCCCGGGAAGGAAAAGCTGGGACCCCTTTTCCTATCTTGCTGAGATGCCAGTCATAACTGCCGCCTTCCAAGTGCAGCTTTGGCATTGAAGTGCACTCTCCGCAGAACCAAGCCTGGCCTCCTTCTCTGCCTGGAGGAGTTCCTTTGCTCCTGGGAAGGACCTTTGGGGCTCGGCCTGGTCTTCCCCTGGTGACGGAGGAGAGCAAGGCGCTTAAGGGGATCTCCCTGCTTCCAGGACCTCTGCTTTTCAAGGGCTTTTCAAAGGATGGGGAGGAGTGTGATGGATGCGGGTCTCTTGAAGGCGGTGGAGAAATTGGCTTCGGGGATAGAATCCCCTGAAGCGCTCATGTTGGTGAAGCCTTGAGCTGTTTGGGGACCTGAGATTGCAAGTAGCGGGTCTGGCCCCCAAAGAGCAGTGCTGTGGCCCCCCGAAAAGAGGACGGCTGGCAGCACGGAGAAGGGACCGACAAAGGCCGGGCAGCTGATGCGGGGGAGCCCTGCTGGCCCTCCTGGGTGCCGCCCCCCCCTCCCCGCCACCATGCCCTCCGCAGGCAGCCAGATGGAACGGGGGACGGCATGTTTTTGCAGTGTTGACACTTGCGCAAAAGAATTGGCACAGCGCTATTTAAAGCCAAGGAAGGGAGGATGCTATAGAGAGAGGGAGAAAGAAAGAATGATACAAGGAGAGAAAAGGGAAGGAAGAAGGAAGGGAAGGGGGGGAAAGGGAAGGAGGAAGGGGAGGAAAAAAGGAGGAAGGAAGGAAGGAAGGAAGGAAGGAAGGAAGGAAGGAAGGAAGGAAGGAAGGAGAAGGGGAAGGGAAGGGAAGGGAAGGGGAAGGGAAGGGAAGGGAGGGGAAGGGGAAGGGGAAGGGGAAGGGAAGGAGGGAAGGAAGGGAGGGAGGGGAGGGAGGGAGGGAGGAAGGAAAGGAAGGAAGGAAGGAAGGAAGGAAGGAAGGAAGGAAGGAAGGAAGGAAGAAGGGGAGAGAGAGGAAGGCTGCCCATTTTATTTGAATGCTGTTCCGAAGATGCAATACATATTCTAAATAAGAAGGAAGGAAGGAAGGAGAAAAGAAAAAAGATGTAGAAATACACTAACCAAATCAGGGGGAAGGGAGGGAGGGAGGGAGGGAGGGAGGGAGGGAGGGAGGAAGGAAGGAAGGAAGGAGGGAGGGGGGGAGGGAAGGGAAGGGAAGGAGAGGAAGGGGAGAGGAAGGAAGGAAGGAAGGAAGGAGAGGAGGAAGGGGAAAAGGAGGGAGGAAGGAAGGAAAGAAGAAGGAAGGGGGAGGTGGGCAAGGGAGGGAGGGAAGGGAGATAGGGAGGGAGGGAGGGAGGGAGGGAGGGAGGGAGGGAGGGAGGAAGGAAGGAAGGAAGGAAGGAAGGAAGGAAGGAAGGAAGGAAGGAAGGGAAGGTAGGGTGGGAGGAAGGTAGAAAGGAAGGAAGGAAGGAAGGAAGGAAGGAAGGAAGGAAGGAAGGAAGGGAAGGTAGGGTGGGAGGAAGGTAGAAAGGAAGGAAGGAAGGAAGGAAGGAAGGAAGGAAGGAAGGAAGGAAGGGAAGGTAGGGTGGGAGGAAGGTAGAAAGGAAGGAAGGAAGGAAGGAAGGAAGGAAGGAAGGAAGGAAGGAAGGGAAGGTAGGGTGGGAGGAAGGTAGAAAGGAAACAAGGGAAGAAGAGAAGGAAGGGAGGGAGGAAGGAAAGGAGGAAGGAAGGATGGGAAGAAGGGAATGAAGGGGGAGGGAGGAGGGAAGGAAAGAAGAGAAGCTTGGAAGGAAGGAAAGGAAGGGTGAGAGGAAGGTAGGAAGGAAACAAAGGAAGGAAGGAAAGGAAGGGAGGGAGGGAAGGAAGAAGGGGAAGCCTCCTTCTCAAAGCTAGGAGCTGACCCACCCCTTCCTTCCCTCTCTCCTTTCCAAAGGCAGATGTGGAGCATCTGTTGCCCATAGAAAGGTGGGGTGTTGAGGTTAGGGGCCCATAGATCCCAAGACTGGAAGGTCCAAACACTGAGCGTGACCTTGTCATCTTTCCTTCGGGGCGACTCAACCCCTCGGTCCTGTTTGGAGACATTGGCGCGACAGTTGACACTGCACCAGCAGCGGGGAAAGCAGGGCTTATTATTATTATTATTATTATTATTATTATTATTATTATTATTATTATTATTATTTGTCTTCTTGCATCCCCTGGAGGGAGGACACGCGTGGAGGGGGGCGGGCCCGGAGTCCTGCTGCGAGCCCCTCAGCAACCCTCTCGCGCATGCGCACTGACTTAGATGGGAACAGCGTGCCTTTCAGGAACCCCGAGGCAGAAGTCCCAAACCAAATCTCCACCCGGATGATAATAACCGGGGGGAGGGGGAGCTGCGCATGCGCTGTGCACGGCTTCTCACCGGCTCCAAAGTAACTTCCTCCCTCTCGGTCACAGGACACCCCCCCCCGTTCCCATAATCTCCTCCTTCTCTCCAAAGGCTCTTCCTGCCTGAAGCCAGATCCATGGAGCTTTGCTGCTGCTGGAACTGAAGGAGGGAAGAAGAAAGGAAGGGGGGATCCCCCTCCCCAATTTGGCCCCGCCCCTTCCCTTGGAGACCCTTGGCCTTCCGCCGTGAAGCGCAAACTCGTCTGCGAGACGCAACAGGTGCCCCCCTCTCTCTCTCCAAGCATTTTGCGACACTGGCTGTCAAGGCGTTTTGACCCCGGATGTCAGTGCGAAATAACAAGGACGGGGCCATCCTCCTCCTTCAAGAAGAAGGGAGAGGGGGAGAGAGAGAGATATAGGGCAGAGGAGCCCTAGAACCAGGGTTAGGGCTAGAGATAGAGATAGGGCTAGGGCAGAGGAGCCCTGGGGCTAGAGATGGAGATAAGGATAAGGCTAGGGCAGAGGAGCCCTAGAGATAGAGATAGATAGAGATAGAGATAGAGAGAGAGAGAGATAGAGATAGAGATAGAGATAGAGACAGAGATAGGGCTAGAGTAGAGGAGCCCTAGGGCTAGAGTTGGAGATAGGGCTAGAGTAGAGGAGCCCTAGGGCTGGAGATAGACAGAGATAGGGCTAGGGTAGAGGAGCCCTAGAGATAGAGATAGAGATAGAGATAGAGATAGAGATAGAGATAGAGATAGAGATAGAGATAGAGATAGAGATAGAGATAGAGATAGAGATAGAGATAGAGATAGAGATAGAGATAGAGACAGAGATAGAGATAGGGCTAGAGTAGAGGAGCCCTAGGGGTAGAGTTGGAGATAGGGCTAGGGTAGAGGAGCCCTAGGGCTGGAGATAGACAGAGATAGGGCTAGGGTAGAGGAGCCCTAGAGATAGAGATAGAGATAGAGATAGAGATAGAGATAGAGATAGAGATAGAGATAGAGATAGAGATAGAGAGAGAGAGAGAGAGAGAGAGAGAGAGAGAGAGATAGAGACAGAGACAGAGACAGAGATAGGGCTAGAGTAGAGGAGCCCTAGGGGTAGAGTTGGAGATAGGGCTAGGGTAGAGGAGCCCTAGGGCTGGAGATAGACAGAGATAGGGCTAGGGTAGAGGAGCCCTAGGGCTGGAGATAGAGATAGGGATAGGGTAGAGGAACCCTAGGGCTAGAGATTGCGCAGAGGAGCCCTAGGGCTAGAGATAGAGATTGCGCAGAGGAGCCCTAGGGCTAGAGATGGAGATAGGGTTAGGGTAGAGGAGCCCTAGGGCTAGATATAGAGATAGGGCTAGGGGAAGAAGAGCCCTAGGGCTAGAGATAGGGCTAGGGCAGAGGAGCCCTAGGTCTAGAGATACAGATAGGGCTAGGGCAGAAGAGCCCTAGGGCTAGAGATAGGTCTAGGGCAGAGGAGCCCTAGGGCTAGAGATGGAGATAGGGCTAGTGTAGAGAAGCCCTAGGGCTAGAGATAGAAATAGGGCTAGGGCACAGGAGCTCTAGGGCTAGAGATAGAGATAGGGCTAGGGTAGAAGAGCCCTAGGGCGATAGATAGAGATAGGGCTAGGGCAGACGGGCCCTAGAGCTAGAGATACAGATAGAGCTAGGGCAGAGGAGCCCTAGGGCTAGAGATGGAGATAGGGCTAGGGTAGAGGAGCCCTAGGGTAGAGATAGACAGAGATAAGGCTAGGGCAGAAGAGCCCTAGGGCTAGAGATGGAGATAGGGCTAGGGTAGAGGAGCCCTAGGGTAAAGATAGACAGAGATAAGGCTAGGGCAGAGGAGCCCTATGGCGAGAGATACAGATAGGGCTATGGCAGAGGAGTCCTAAGGCTAGATAGAGATAGGGCTAGGGCACAGGAGCCCTAGGACTATAGATATAGGGCTAGGGTGGAGGAGCCCTAGGGCTGGAGATAGACTTGGGGCTAGGTTAGAGGAGCCCTAGGGCTAGAGATATAGGGCTAGAGCAGCGGAGCCCTAGGGCTAGAGATAGAGATAGGGCTAGGGCAGAGGAGCCCTAGGGCTAGAGGTAGAATCATAGAGTTGGAAGAGACCTCATGGGCCATCCAGTCCAACCCCCTGCCAAGAAGCAGGAATATTGCATTCAAAGCACCCCTGACAGATGGCCATCCAGCCTCTGTTTAAAAGCTTCCAAAGAAGGAGCCTCCACCACACTCCGGGGCAGAGAGTTCCACTGCTGAACAGCTCTCACAGTCAGGAAGTTCTTCCTAATGTTCAGATGGAATCTCCTTTCTTGTAGTTTGAAGCCATTGTTCCGCATCCTAGTCTCCAGGGCAGCAGAAAACAAGCTTGCTCCCTCCTCCCTATGACTTCCTCTCACATATTTATACATGGCTATCATATCTCCTCTCAGCCTTCTCTTCTTCAGGCTAAACATGCCCAGCTCCTTAAGCCGCTCCTCATAGGGCATATTCTCCAGACCCTTGATCATTTTAGTCGCCCTCCTCTGGACACATTCCAGCTTGTCAATATCTCTCTTGAATTGTGGTGCCCAGAATTGGACACAATATTCCAGATGGGGTCTAACCAAGGTAGAATAGAGCATGGGGTCCATGACTTCCCTAGATTTGGACACTATACTCCTATTGATGCAGATCAAAATCCCATTGGCTTTTTTTGTGGCCACATGACATTGTTGGCTCATGTTTAACTTGTTGTCCACGAGGACTCCAAGATTTTTTTCACACGTACTGCGCTCGAGCCAGGCGTCCCCCATTCTGTATCTTTGCAGAGATAGGGCTAGGGGAGATGAGCCCTAGGGCTAGAGATAGAGATAGAGCTAGGGCAGAGGAGCCCTAGGGCTGGAGATAGAGATAGGGCTAGGGCAGAGGAGCCTAGGGCTAGAAGTAGAAATAGGGCTAAGGGTAGAACAGCCCTACGGTTGGAGATAGGGCTAGGGCAGAGGAGCCCTAGGGCTAGAGATAGAGATAGGGCTAGGGCAGAGGAGCCCTAGGGCTAGAAGTAGAGATAGGGCTAGGGTAGAAGGGCCCTACGGCTGGCGATAGGGCTAGGGCAGAGGAGCCCTAGGGCTAGAGATAGAGATAGGGCTAGGGCAGAGGAGCCCTAGGGCTGGAGATAGAGATAGGGCTAGGGCAGAGGAGCCCTAGGGCTAGAGATAGAGATAGGGCTAGGGCAGAGGAGCCCTAGGGCTAGAGATAGAGATAGGGCTAGGGCAGAGGAGCCCTAGGGCTAGAGATAGAGATAGGGCTAGGGCAGAGGAGCCCTAGGGCTAGAGATAGAGATAGGGCTAGGGCAGAGGAGCCCTAGGGCTGGAGATAGAGATAGAGCTAGGGCAGAGGAGCCCTAGGGCTAGAGATAGAGATAGGGCTAGGGCAGAGGAGCCTAGGGCTAGAAGTAGAGATAGGGCTAAGGGTAGAACAGCCCTACGGTTGGAGATAGGGCTAGGGCAGAGGAGCCCTAGGGCTAGAGATAGAGATAGGGCTAGGGCAGAGGAGCCCTAGGGCTAGAAGTAGAGATAGGGCTAGGGTAGAAGGGCCCTACGGCTGGAGATAGGGCTAGGGCAGAGGAGCCCTAGGGCTAGAGATAGAGATAGGGCTAGGGCAGAGGAGCCCTAGGGCTAGAAGTAGAGATAGGGCTAGGGTAGAAGGGCCCTACGGCTGGCGATAGGGCTAGGGCAGAGGAGCCCTAGGGCTAGAGATAGAGATAGGGCTAGGGCAGAGGAGCCTAGGGCTAGAAGTAGAGATAGGACTAGGGTAGAAGAGCCCTATGGTTGGAGATAGGGCTAGGGCAGAGGATCCCTAGGGCTAGAAACAGAGATACAAATAAGGCTAAGGCAGAGGATCCCTAGGGCTAGAGATAGGGCTAGAACAGAGGAGCCCTAGGGCTAAGGCTAGAGATAGAGATGTATCAGGCTTGGGCACGCTTTGGCCCTCCTTCCAGGTGTTTTGGACTCCCAAAATTCCTAACATCTTCAGGCCCTTTCCTTTCCCCCCTCAGCTGGGGAAAAGTTAGGAATTCTGGGAGTTGAAGTCCAAAGTTTGCCCAGGCCTGATATATCTATCTCTCTTCTTCTCATCACGTGACACAGTGCGGATAATGCCTCCAGAACACACACAGGGGAGTGGGCGAAACCTTTCCAAAGAGAGAGAGAGAAAGAGAGAATATTGTCATAGCAAAAAAAAAAAAAATGAAGCGAAAGAACCGAACTGTGAAGAACAACACCCACGAAAGAAGGAGGCGGGAGGGAGGAAAGAAGGAAAGGAGCTGGCGGAAGGGGAGGGGGGGGGGAAGGGGCACCCTTAAAAGCCCCCCCCCTTGAGGAGGGGGAGGAGCTCCATATGGGGAGGGGGCTTCTGGGTCTGGGGAGAGAAAGAGAAGAGAGAGGAGGGGGATCAGGGCCCTGCAGAAGGCGAAGAGGGCAAAGCGGAGTGTGGTGGAGGCTTTGCAGCAGAGGTTGGATGGCCACCTGTAGGGGTTGCTTTGAATGTGATGTTCCTGCTTCTTGGCAGGATGGGGTTGGACTGGATGGCCCACGAGGTCTCTTCCAACTCTAGGATTCTAGGAGGAGGAGGGGGAAGAGGAAGAGCTCCTTAACTTGGGCGGGAAACGGGCGGACCGTCCCGGCGCCTCCTCCTCCTCTTCTTCCTCCTCCTCCTCCTCTTCCTCTTCCTCCTCTCCTTCTTCCTCGCGCGGCCGCTCCGCAGGTGGGCTCCTCTCCTCTCGTGTCTCGTCTCCGCGGCTCGTTGCCTGAGGCTCAGCCCGAGAAGGACGCGGCGGAGAAGAAGCAGCAGCAGCAGAAGAGGAGGAGAAGGACAAGAAGGGAGAGGAGGAAGGGGGCCGGGAAGCCCCTCGGCCCCGGATGTCCTGCGGGAGGAGGAGGAGGCGGCGGAGGGGGGCAGGCGGGGGGGCAGGGGGCTCCGGCGGCGGAGGATGTGCGCCCGCGCCCTTCTGCTCTGCCTCATGCTCGCCCCGGCCGTCCAGAGCAGGTGAGTCCGGCCTGGGGAAGGGAAGGGAGGCAGGGGAGGGCAGGGAAGGGGGGAGAAGGGAAGGGGAAGGAAGGGGAGGGCAGGAAAGGGAAGGGAAGGGAGGAGAAGGGGAGAAGGGAGGGAAGGGGAGAGAAGGGGAGGGAGGAAAGGGAAGGGAAGAGGAAGGGAAGGGAAGGAAGGGAGGGGAAGAAAGAAGGGAAGGGGAGAGAAGGGAGGAAGAAGAAGGGAAGAGAAGGGAAAGGGAGGGGAGGGGAAGAAAGAAGGGAAGAGAAGGGGAGAGGAGAAAGAGGAGGGGAGGGGAGGGAAGAAGAAGGAAGAGGAGAGAAGGGGAGGAAGAAGGAAGGAGAGAGGAGGAAGAAGAAGGAAGGAAGGGAAGAAAGAGGGAAGGAGAAGGAAGGGGAGAGAGGGAAGGGGAAAGAAGGGAAGGGGAAGGAAGGGGAGGGCAGGAAAGGGAAGGGAAGAGAAGCGGAGGGAAGGGGAAGAAAGTAGGGAAGGGAAGGGGAGAGAAGGGAAGGGAAGGGGAAAGCAGGGAAGAAAAGGTCTCCAGTGGAACCCTTGAGCCATCTTTCCTTAGACCTTTCCTAAGACCCCCTGGTAATTTTCAACAGTAAGCAAACAGTATTTTGCCCCCCCCCCCCGCCCCAACCAGTCATTGATATATATTTTCTGTTGGTCATGGGAGTTCTGTGTGCCATATTTGGTTCAATTCCATCATTGGTGGAGTTCAGAATGCTCTTTGATTGTAGGTGAACTATACATCCCAGTAACTACACTTGCCGCATTTGCTCCCTTGCCTGGCCCGCTTTGGGTCCGGAGGCGTGCCTGAAGACCCCGGCGTGTGCACCAAAAGTCACCTAGCAGTCCGGGGGGAGCCTCGGCTTTCTTTCTTTTTTTTGAGGGGGCGCTCCTCAAGTGGCAGTCGAGGGGCATTTACAGAGGCGCCTCTGCGCCCCTGGCAAAAAAAAAAAAAGTGTTCTGCGACCGCTTACTTCGCGTAATGGATGAGCCGCCCCTGCCTGGAACATTGGGTTAAACTGCTGAGCTGCTGAACTTGCTGACTGAGAGGTCGCCGGTTCGAATCTGGGGGGCGGGGTGAGCTCCCGCTGTTAGCCCCAGCTTCTAGCAAATCTAGGAACTCGAAAACATGCAAATGTGAGTAGATCAGTAGGTACCGCTCAGGCGGGAAGGTAAGGGTGTTCCATGCAGTCATGCCGACCAAAAGGTTGGCGGTTCGAATCCGGGGAGCAGGGTGAGCTCCCGCTGTTAGCCCCAGCTTCTGCCAACCTAGCAACTAGAAAACATGCAAATCTGAGTAGATCAATTGGTACTGCGCAGGTGGGAAGGTAACAGTGCTCCATGAAGTCATGCTGGCCACATGACCTTGGAGGTGTCTACGGACAACGCCAGCTCTTTGGCTTAGAAATGGAGATGAGCACCTACTCCCTGGACTTAATGTCAGGGGAAAACCTTTACCCCACCATAGACTCCCAGGGAGGCCCTTTTCTCTCTCCCCCCCCCCCAAGCATAGCCCTCCCGAGGGTGTGACCTTCCCTTCCCCTTCCCATTCCCCCTCAAGACACGCTCTGCACGGGCTGGAAAGGGGCCCTCCTTCCCTCCTCCTTCCTTCGTGGGGAGGGGGCGCCTGCTCCTCTGCGGAGGAGGACCCTCCCCGTCGGGGAAGAGCACAGATGGGGCGGAGGAGGAAGAGAGAGATTGAGAGAGAGAGGGAGACAGAGAGAGAGAGAAAGCGCTCCGTGACAGAATGAGGCGACGCCGGCCCCGTGACGGCCCCCTCCCACGCGCCGCGGAGTGGTCCTGAGTGGGGGGAGGGGGGGAGCGGGGAGGAGCCCCATAGAGGGCCCAAAGGGGGGAGGGGAAGGTGTGGCCGGTGGTGGCACGTGGACCCCTCCCTCCCCTTCCTCTCTCCCTCCCTCCCCGACCTGCCAGTCATGATTTGCGCACGTCAAGCCTCCTCCGAATGCATGCCTTGCAAAAATGTGAGGTCGCCCGTTGCCTGGGGGATAATGGGACATAAAAAGCACTTCCCATCCTCCGTGGTTTCTCCAGCAGAGAAAGCCTTCCCTGGAGTCGTTGCCAAGAGGGTGGGAAAAGGCAATGGAGATGCCAGACATAGAAGTACTCCTTTGAGGAGGGTCGTCAAGGGTCTAAAGGTCCTGGATAGGTCTGCAGTCAAGGTGGAGTTATGGGAAACAAAGGGAGGGACCTCACAACCTCTGAGAATACCTGATGTGGGCAAAACGTCAGGAGAAAATGCTTCTTCAGTCAAGCTCAGCCAGGTGGAGTTATGGGAAACAAAGGGAGGGACCTCACAACCTCTGAGAATACCTGCCATAGATGTGGGCAAAACTTCAGGAGAAAATGCTTCTGCAGTCAATCTCAGCCAGGTGGAGTTATGGGAAACAAAGGGAGGGACCTCACAACCTCTGAGAATACCTGCCATAGATGTGGGCAAAACGTCAGGAGAAAATGCTTCTGCAGTCAAGCTCAGCCAGGTGGAGTTATGGGAAACAAAGGGAGGGCCCTCACAACCTCTGAGAATACCTGCCATAGATGTGGGCAAAACATCAGGAGAGAATGCTTCTGGAACATGGCCAGACAACCCAAAGGGAGGGAAGCAGTCAGGCCTAGGGCAGGAGCTGAGGACTGGTGGTTACACATTCGGGTTGCTGTGAGTTTTCTGGGCTCTATGGCCATCTTCCAGAAGCATTCTCTCCTGACGTTTTGCCCACATCTATGGCAGGCTCTATGGCCATATTCCAGAAGCATTCTCTCCTGATGTTTTGCCCACATCTATGGCAGGCTCTATGGCCATATTCCAGAAGCATTCTCTCCTGACGTTTTGCCCACATCTATGGCAGACATCCTCAGAGGTTGTCAGGTCTGTTGGAAACAAGGCAAGTGGAGTTTATATATCTGTGGAATAATATCCAGGGTGGGAGAAAGAACTCTTGTCTGCTTGAGGCAGGTGTGAATTGGGCAGCTTGATTAGCATTAAATGGCCTTGCAGCTTCAAAGCATGGCTGCTTCCTGGCTTTCATGGCCAGAATCACAGAATTGCTGTGTGTTTTCCGGGCTGTATGGCCATGTTCCAGAAGCATTCTCTCCTGACATTTTGCCCACATCTATGGCAAGCATCCTCAGAGGTTGTGAGGTCTGTTGGAAACTAGGCAAGTGGAGTTTATATATCTGTGGAATAATGTCCAGGGTGGGAGAAAGAACTCTTGTTTGCTTGAAACTTTTTGGCCAGCTTGATTAGCATTAAATTAGCATTTAGTGGCCCTGAAGCTTCAAAGCCTAGCTGCTTCCTGGCTTTCGTGGCCAGAATCACTGAATTGCTGTGTGTTTTCCGGACTATACGGCCATGTTCCAGAAGCATTCTCTCCTGATGTTTCACCCACATCTATGGCAGGCACCCTCAGAGGTGTGTTTGTTTGTTTTTAATGCAATACAACTGTTTTGGTTCTCTCCTGACACAATAAATAAATAAACCCTCAGAGGTTGTGAGGTCTGTTGGAAACAAGGCAAGTGCGTTTTATATATCTGTGGAATAATGTCCAGGGTGGGAGAAAGAACTCTTGTCTGTTGGAGGCAAGTGTGGACATTGCAATTGATCACCTTGATTAGCATTGGAGAGAAACATCAGGAGAGAATGCTTCTGGAACATGGTCATACAGCCCGGAAAACTCACAGCAACCCAGATTCCCTGGAGTCGTTGCCAAACTGGGCTGGGAAAGAGGGTGGGAAAAGGCCATGGAGGTTCCAAAAATGCTGCAGGGGTGAGAAGTACCTCTTTGAGGAGGATCATTAAGGGTCGTCCAAGGGGCAAAGGTGCTGGATAGTCCTGTAGTCAAGCTCAGGTTGTGGAGTTATGGGGAACATAGGGAGGGTGGCATGGAGGGAGGCACGTCTGAGGATTTGCGGTTTCACATTCCTTCCTGTGATTTGTTTTTTTGGTCCAAAACACTGCTGCTTTGAAGTCTGAGAAAAGCTGCCCAGAAAGCTTGAAATGCTCTGCCACTGGTTTTTGGGGTAATCCCAGTTTTAGTGTCAGATTTGTCCCTATTTATTCCCCTGGTGCAGAGAGGGGCTTATCTGCCGCCTGCAGAGGGGCCTTCCTGGCAGAGCTGAGCCCACAGAGGTCTCTCTGGCCTGGCAGGAAGTGGGGAGGCGGCTGCTGGGAGCTCCAGAAGAGGAAATGAGGCCCCTGGGTGAGGCCTTGCCCTAGGGCTGGCCTTTCCATTCCATGGGGTCACTTTGGACATCGAATAGGAGCCTCAAGGTGTTTCCAAGGCAATTCATTGAGGCTACACTTCTGGGATATTCCAAGAAGGGCTGAGAATGGTCAGATAGAGATAGGGCTAGGGTAGAGAAGCCCTAGGGCTAGAGATAGAGATAGGGCTAGGGTAGAGGAGCCCTAGGGACAGAGATAGATATAGGGCTAGAGTAGAAGAGCCCTAGGGCTAGAGATAGAGATAGGGATAGGGTAGAGGAGCCCTAGGGCTAGAGATAGAGATAGGGCTAGGGTAGAGGAGCCCTAGGGCTAGGGATAAAGATAGGGCTAAGGTAGAAGAGCCCTAGGGCTAGAGATAGGGCTAGGGCAGAGGAGGCCTAGGGCTAGAGATAGAGCTAGGGCTAGGGTAGAGAAGCCCTAAGGATAGAGATAGAGATAGGGCTAGGGCAGAGGAGCCCTAGGGCTAGAGACAGAGATAGGGCTAGGGCAAATAGGTCCTAGGGCTAGAAATAGAGATAAGGATAAAGCTAGGGCAGAGGAGCCCTAGGGTTAGAGATATAGGGCTAGGGTAGAAGAGCCCTAGGGCTAGAGATAGAGATAGGGCTAGGGCAGAGGAGCCCTAGTGCTAGAGATATAGAGCTAAGGTAGAAGAGCCCTAGGGCTAGAGATAGAGATAGGGCTGGGGTAGAGAAGCCCTAAGTGTAGAGATAGAGATAGGGCTAGGGCAGAGAAGCCCTAGGAGCAGCGATAGAGATAGGGCTAGGGCAGAGGAGACCTAGTGCTAGAGATAGAGATAGGGCTAGGATATTCCAAGAAGGGCTGAGAATGGCCAGAAGCCTGGGAAGGGAGGCACCTGTAATGACTGGAAATGCCAAACCATCCTGAATTGCTGTGAGTTTTCTAGGCTGTATGACCATGTTCCAGAAGCATTCTTTCCTGACGTTTAACCCACATTTATGGCGGGCATCCTCAGAGGTTGTGAGGTCTGTTGGAAAGTCAGGGAGCACAGTAGATGTGCTGTCCTGGTCCGTAGTGTTTCCAGTTTCCGTGTATCTTGGAACAGTTTCTCCCGATAGAGATGTTCTCTTGCTTCTCTCCAATGTTAATCAAGGTGATCAATTGCAACATTCACACTTGCCTCAGGCAGACAAGAGTTCTTTCCTCCACTCTGGACATTCCAAAGATATATAATATACCCCACTTGCCTAGTTTCCAGCAGACCCTTCAACCTCTGAGGATGCCTGCTATAGATGTGGGTGAAATGTCAGGGGAAGGAGACAGTGGCTAGCAGGAGGAGGCAAGGCAAAGCCCTTGCCTCCATGTTCCAAAGATATATATTATATATCTTTGGAACATGCATAGGAATGTGGGGGAGGAGTCCCTCAGCCTAATCCTATCTCTAGTCTAGCTACTCATTGAGATCTGGAAGCTTGTGACACAAGAGATTTGTGCAGTCCAGGGTTGAAACCCAACACATTGGCCCTTGGGTGAGGCCTTGCCCTGGCCCTGGTCTTTCCCTTCTGTGGGGCCACTTTGGACACCCAATAGGAGCCCCAAGATGTTTCCAGGACTGTTCACTGAGACCATACTCCTGGGATATTCCAAGAAGGGCTGAGGATGGCCAAGAGGCTGGGTTGGGAGGCACAAAGGACCTGCCATGACTGGAAATACCAAACCATCCTAGCCACCATCACTAGGTTGCTCTGGGTCCCCAAGTGTCCTCAGTCCTGTGGCTCTGCTTAATAATCCAGGACTCATAGCTTAGCAAGCCACTGAGGAGCAGAGGTCTCATTTTTGCAGCTCCTTTTGAGTAAACAAGATACGACAGGAATCTGGAGGGTCCAAAGGCGGGAAGGGCTCTGCTGCTTCTTACTGTTGGGGAGTCTGAGCTGTTAGGCTCAAAATAATCCTCAGTTGGGATGATTCCACCATAAATATAGCAGAGAACTAAAAGCTTTTGAGAATGCAGTGGAATAGATAACAAGGAACTATGAATGACGAACATGGAATGGCCAGATGATGTTACTGGATAATGTTTTTAACAAGATGACACCGATGATTATATGCTTTAACAGTTTTTATTTGTTTTATATTGTAATGTTGATTGTATTGTCGAACACAATGGCTGGAATCACTAGGTTCTTGTGGGTTTTTTCGGGCTATAGGGCCATGTTCTAGAGGCATTTCTCCTGACGTTTCGCCTGCATCTATGGCAAGCATCCTCAGAGGTAGTGCCTCTAGAACATGGCCCTATAGCCTGAAAAAACCCACAAGAACCTAGTAATGTTGATTGTTTTCAATGGCAATTTTATGAATACCTGACATCAAATTGTGCCAATCTGTAACCCGCCTTGAGTTGCCGTATGGCTGAGAAAGGCGGGCTATAAATACCGTAAACAAATAAATAATAAATAAGTGTCCTCAGTCCTGTGGCTCTGCTTAAAAACCCAGGAGCCATTGCTCAGCAAGCCACTGAGGAGCAGAAGTGTCATTTCTGCAGCTTCTTTTGAGTAAACAAGGTACGGGAGGAATCGGGAGGGTCCAAAGAGGGAGGGAAGCCTCTGCTCTTTCTTACCCTACTCTGGAAAGAAGGAGAGAGGGCCCTGCAGGGACACCCAGGTGCCAGCACCCCTCCTGCTCTCTCTCTTAGTGCTTTCTCCCAGGCTCATATTTGCCATCTAGCTAAGGTCTTACAAAAGCCTTACAAAAGTTGACGAAAATGTCCTTCCTGCCAGTGGACCCTTGTTGGAATGCAGGAGGACCCTTCTAGGTCTCCCTTGTTGCCAGTGGGACACCCCTTTCTCTGTCTCTCTCTGTTTTTGCACCGTAATTGGGAACAGAAGGCCGGGTGTCCTTCCTTTCGCCAAATGCAATTAGGGACTGCTGACACTGCAGCGCTCTTGGGAGAATGTCAAGCTTTGCCCCGGGAGGGGACGTCAAATCCCATCTGTCCTTTCCTGGACCTTGGCATAATGGGGCTGACAGGTCCCTTGGCTCTCCTGCTCCTCTCAGGCCACCGCAAAGGCCTTGCTTCTCCCTCCTCTTCTCTCTCTCTCTCTCCTACACAAACACACACAGGCTTAGAAAGAGACCCACTCATGGGCTCCATTTCTTGGGCAAAAGGGCAGCTTCCTCAGCAAGGAGATTTTGCGAAGGGCCAGAAGCAGATACCTGGTGGGAGCAGCACTGCACTTCTGCAGGTTGCCAGGCTGAATTGCTCACACTTTGAGTGCCACCATCTCTCTCGATCTGCTTTGCTCTCGGTGGCAAAAAGCTTTTCGTGGGTGACATCTCCATTAGCGGGCGCCAGGCAGCCCTCCCTCCCTTTCTAATTGCTTGGTGCCTGCAGGAGCTGAGGTGTCACACCTGATACCTGGGAAAAAGAAGAGTGAGGGAGGCACCAGGCTGCCTCTCCCTGACTCTCAGCCCAGAGTCTCCATTCTCTGTGTGTGTCTTGGTAGAATGTGGCCACCTTGTGCTTGGCAGGTGGCCAACGGCCGGGCTGGAAAAGGCCCACAACAGACAAACACACATACACACACACTGAGTGCAGCATGTCTTGTGGACCAGCCCTTCGCAACAAAGGACACCAGTTCTGACCAAATGCCCACATTCATCTGAGAGGGACAGAAACTCAGGCTCTAGGAGGGAAAAGGAGCAGCCTCCCCTTTAGACCTTGGGATCTAGAGCCACATACTTCAGAGGGCAGCTCTTCTTCTATATTTGCCCCTCTATATTTGCTTCCTCCATATTTATTTATTATTTCTTATTTATTTCTTGCATTTATTGACCGCCCCTCTCAGCCCGAGGGCGACTTCCCGAATGCAGGGACACATAGGTTTCAGGAATGTCCTAATCCCTTCATTCCCCATTGTCTCTGATCGTCCCGACTCCATTTATGGTGGAGTCACCCTTCAGGCAAATGGGCCACTGTTGGGTTTCATCCTTGGACTAAGTAAGTAAGTAAATAAGTAAGTCATCCTTGTGTCATCAAGTCTCCAGACCTCAATGAGTAGCTAGACTAGAGATACAATTAGGCTGAAGAATCCCCCGCCACATTCCTATGCATGTTTTCCCAGAAAGGGCTTTGTCTTTACTCTTCTTGCCACTCTCTCCTCCCCTTTGATGATGTAGCATTGGAATTCTGTGATGGAACTTCCTTTTTAAAGGTATTTTTATTGCCCTGGGCTGGCCATGTCGCCCTTTTGCCAGTCTCTTCTGCTTTTTTTCTACCATATTTATGGTGGAATCACCCCAACCAAAGGTTATTATGAACCTAACAGTTCAGATTACCCAACATATGGTTATGGGCCCAGCATGCTTCCAGTGCGCGATTCTGCTATATTTATGGTGGAATCACCCCAACTGAGGGTTATTTTGACCCTTACAGCTCAGATTCCCCAACAAAGGATTATCGGCCCAGCACCCTTCCGCTATGCCACTCTGATATATTTATGGTGGAATCACCCCAACTGAAGATTATTTTGAGCCTAACAGCTCAGATTCCCCAACAAATGGTTATGGGCCCAGCATGCTTCCTCTGCGTCACTCTGCTATATTTATGGTGGAATCACCTCAACCGAGGGTTATTTTGACCCTAACAGCTCTGATTCCCCAACAAAGGGTTATGGGCCCAGCACACTTCCACTTGGCTATATTTATGGTGGAATCATCCCAACTGAGGGTTATTTTGAACCTAACAGCTCAGATTACCCAACATATGGTTATGGGCCCAGCACACTTGCGCTTCGCCACTTGGCTATATTTATGGTGGAATCACCCCAACTGAAGGTTATTTTGACCCTAACAGCTCAGATTACCCAACAAAGGGTTATGGGCCCAGCACACTTGCGCTTCGCCACTTGGCTATGTTTATGGTGGAATCACCCCAACTGAAGGTTATTTTGACCCTAACAGCTCAGATTACCCAACAAAGGGTTATGGGTCCAGCACGCTCCCACTGTGCCACTCTGCTATATTTCTGGTGGAATCACCCCAACCGAGGGTTATTTTGAGCCTAATAGCTCAGATTCCCCAACTGCCACTGTCCCAGGTTCCCTTGCCCCCCTTTTCTGCGACACAGGCAGGGCCTCCTCTCCATTGGTCTTGGTGTCCATGTGCCCCTCTTTTCCTCCAGGGGGGAGAACGTGGAGGACTATGACTACGACTACCTGAGTACCAACAAGACTTGGGTCCTGGCGCCCAAAGCTCAGGAGGCTGACGCCACTCGCATCCTGAACACTCTGCTCCAAAACTACGACAACAAGCTGAGGCCGGATGTTGGCAGTAAGTGCTTCCCCTTTTGTCTCCCCAAGAGGCCAACTACTGGGTGGGACCAGGGCAGCTTTTCTGCTGAGTCCTAAGAAGGGGACCCCAAATTGCTGGCAGCAGCTACTGAGGGCAGGAGGAGGGGCGTGTGTGCAAAAATCCAGTCCCCCCCAAATGCTAAGCACATAGTCACAAGGTTCCCAAAGGTAGCACCGATTCCCAAAAAGTCACAGGACATTTTGGGGAGGGTTTGTGGATGGTGGAACGGAGGTCTTCTGAAAAAAACAGAGGGCAAAGTGAGGAGGAGAAGCATGGAGAGAGGGGCAACACAGATGAGGGATGCAGATGAGATGAGGCCAATGCAGGCATTGAGGAGGCATTGAGGAGTTTGTAAAACTAGACAACTGGACCTTTAAAATGGTTGTGCATCCATTGCTGCAATCATTTCATGGCTGGACGTTTTGCTTGACTCTACAGTTAGGTGGCTTTTTGGGTTCTGTGAGCTGTTCTGGGTGCAGGTATTTCTGCAGAGAAGTGGCACAAAATGTCTCAAGAGCCTGTCCAGTTCCCCGTTTCCCCAGCTGATCCTCCTTTCTCTCTCTCTCTCTCATTCTCTCTCCCTGTGGACCCCTTTTCCTCCTGGTAGTCAAGCCCACTTTCATTGACGTTGACATCTACGTGAACAGCATTGGGCCGGTTTCTGTGATCCACATGGTGAGTAGGGCTTTCTGGGAAAGTTCTGTGTGGGTGTGTGTATCTATCTGTATATCCTGCCCAAGGTTAGAGAGGGAGCTCAGGGAAGGCTGGATTTCTTTGTCAGTTGGGTTAGGCCCATTGGGCTCATGGAATTGACAGTGGGGAGGACTTTTTTCCACCTCACAGCATACCTGGCCCAGTCTCTCTGAGCTGGTGCTGGTGGAGGATAGAACCCCTAGTTCAAATGCGGGGAAAGTGGGTTGAGCTCCCTCTGTCAGCTCCAGCTTCCCATGCGGGGACATGCGAGAAGGATGGTAAAACATCAAAAATTACATCCGGGCGTCCCCTGGGTAACGTCCTTGCAGACGGACAATTCTCTCACACCAGAAGTAACTTGCAATTTCTCAAGTTGCTCCTGACCCAAAAAAAAAAAGAGAAAGAAATTGGGCTCATGGGATTGACAGTAGGGAGGACTTTCTCCACCTCTCACCATACCTCGCCCAGTTTCTCTGAGCTGGTGCTGGTGAAGGATGAGGCTGGAGACACAGGTCTCACAATGGGAAAGACCTTGCCAAGGAATTATTGGGGTGAGAGAGACACGTCCTCTGGTCCTCTCCTGGTGGGATCATTGGAGGGGCAGAAGAGCCTTGTTCAGCCCTTGGTAAGGGCTTCAGACCCTTTGTTGCTCACTTGCAATGAGCCTCCAAGTTCCTTCTGCACACAAGGAGACCCCCTCCTGCCTTGGATGCCGAATGACGTGGAAGGGATGTCTGCAGCGCATCCTAATGAAGGGCTGTCTGCCTTTGTGGAGCAGCACAGGATGCAGAAGGGAGGGACACATTTTTCACAAAAGAGGAAGGTGACCCCTCTGCCCGCACCTCCCCCCTCCCCCCTCCAATGTTCCTCCTCTTCTTGATTGGGATGCTTTCGTATTCCCCAAGCTGCTTCATGGGAAGGAAAAGTATGAGGACGAAAGGCAGGAGTGGCCTGGCTCAGAAGGGTTGCAGCAGAATCACCTAAATATGGAATCCTTGCGTGACGAAGGTGACAGATTTGGAGCTGAGGAGGTGGAGGAGACGGTGATGGTGGTGGCAGCTGTGGCAGAGGTGGGAGGGAAGCCAGGATTAGGACCCAACAGAAGGCAGGAGCAGAGCAGACCTGGTCCCAGGAAGTTGAGAGGCACAGGGAGGCCTGCTGAGGACCCAAAAGGAGCCCTTTGGACCCCAGATCAGCCACCATCCCTCTCACCCCACCTATTATGAAGAGTCCACCTTGACTGTCCCATTTGAACTTGATGGAGCAACCCTGGCTAACAGCCGTTGCTCCTCACACTGCACTTGCAGGGGCCTTGCCAACTTGGGGAGTCCAGCCTTCCTCTCCTCCCACTCTTGCTCATTAAGAACAGAGCTTCACCTTCTGGAGAGCCAGCAGGTTGTTGTTCTCCTCTGAGGAGCACCTGGCTGATGTCACGTCTGTCTCAGTGCAAGGATATCTCTGAGTCCCCCAGGCAAGGACGGCTGAGCGGAGCTAAACAGATGCATCTTGGCCATCGTGGTCCGGTGCAGATGATGTGGCGGAAGGGAGGGAGGGCGATGGGATGCCAAAGGAAGAACAATGTGGCCTCAATGCAATGAAAGGATGGGGGTGTCGTAAAAGTGACCCCCAAATGAGAGCAGACAAATCTCCCTTGGCCACAGCAAGTTTCAAGGTTCAGCAGCATTAACAATAAGGGTTGGGGAAAGCAGGATTAGCAACCAGATTGGCAGCACTTTGAGCCTGCACTGCTTGGCCCCTTTGCAGGTAACTTCACAGACAAGATTGGTGGGAACGAGGGAGAGAGCCTTCTCCGCTGTGGCTCCCCATCTTTGGAACTCACTACCTGGTGAGATTAGGCAAGCCCCCTCCTTAGTGGACTTCAAGAAAAAATTAGAAAACCTGGCTTTTTCGACGTGCCTTTGAAGAGTGACCATCTATGCCAGTTGTGTTGCCCCATCTATAGTGTTCCCCTATGACACACTTTCCCCCCATTTTAAACTGAAAGCCTGTCCCCACTGTTTCGTTTTCTTGGGCCCCCTCATTTATTATTTTCTATTCTTACCTTACCCAGAGTTTTATCTTTTTATCTTGTTCTCTTGGCCTGCCCATCCTATTTGGTTGTTTTTTTGTTTTTGTTTTTGTTTATTGTGTGAATTTGTTGTACCATTTCATTTTGTTATTGTAATTATTATTATTATTATTATTATTATTATTATTATTATTATTTTGCCAGCTGCACCCGTACCTTGGGAAGTCTGACTTGGCCACGGTAGTCCATGCTCTGGTTACACCCTGTATAGACTACTGGAATGTGCTCTACATGGGGCTGCCTTTGAAGACTGCTCGGAAGTTTCAAATGGTCCAACGGGCGGCAAACAGGCTATTAATAGGAGTGGCGCTCAAGGAGGGTACAACCCCTCTGCTGCACCAACTCCAGTGGCTGCCAGTTTGCTACCTGGCACAATTCAAAGTGCTAGCTTTAGCCTTTAAAGCCCTAAACAGTTCTGGCCCAGCTTACCTGTCCGAATGCTTCTCGCCCTGTGAACCATCTACGTCTCTAAGATCATCTGGGGATCACCTGCTCTTGGTCCCACCTCCTTCGCAGATGTGACTGGCGGGAATGAGAGACAGGGCCTTCTCAGCGGTGGCCCCTCAGCTATAGAATGCCCTCCCTAGGGATATCAGATTGGCCCCCTCCCTCCTAATATTTTGAAAAAGAGTTAAAGCCTGGCTCTTTGAGCAAGCATTCATAGATGCAGTGTAGCAGGCTAATTTAGATCCACGGAACGATTGGACGATGCGACTGGAAAATGATTTTAGTAATGAGACGCCGAGGACTTCTGTGTTATTGTTTTTATATGGTTTATACTATATGTTAATGTTTTGACTATATTTTATGTTGTTGGAGGCATTGAATTATGCCAATTGTAAACCGCCTTTAGTCACCTTTGGGCTGAGAAAGGCGGTATATAAATATGGCAAATAAATAAATAAATAAATGAGCAGAAGCTGTATGGCCTGTTTGGAGGTGCCTTGAATGCAATTTTCCTGCTTCTTGGCAGGGGGTTGGACTGGATGGCCCATGAGGTCTCTTCCAACTCTATGACTCTATGATTCTATGCCCTCATTCCTGCCAAGGATGGGGAGGGGGGTGTCACTGAGCCCTTTGGTGCCACCTGCCTCCCCTTCTCCCTCCCTTCTGCTGGCCCCACATGAGTTGAGGCGTGGAGTCTGCAGCAGGTACCGTTTCTCCATGAGAAATCATACAAGGCCAGGCTCCAGGGTGCCGAACTCATTTTGGCGATGCATAGTTCAGCACAGGCAGAATAAAACCCCATGGCAGTCATGTCTGCCTGGTCTCATCTCTCTCCCAATCCCACATAAAGCCCAGGGGAGCTTTAATTCCTGGTCTCCTCTTTGTGCCCAAAGCTTGTTTTGCTTTCAGTCTCTGCATTCCTGCTCTGAATAAAGGGGAGGGGGTGGGCACGTAACTCTTATTTCTTGCCAACTTCCCCCCTCTTGCAAGGGACCTGCTTCTGTGTGCAAAAGAGGCAGATTGTGGAGGGACTGGAAATCAAATTGTTGCCATTGGAAGGAGCAGTGAAACATACCAAGAGTCTAAGCGGCCATGGTTTCTGCCTGCGTGTTTTGACTGAGCTGCATTTAGTAACGCATTTCCAATGAGTTATGTGCATACAGATTGCCAGAGACTCAGCGGAGACTTGGAGTGAAAGGGAGATGTGTGCGCAGAGTGGATTAAACCACGTGGGTCTCTTCTCTGCCTGCGGCCCCCTTTCCTGCAAACCTGGCACACTTGCGAAGGCCTTTGTCCTGGGCTTTTCTTGCTCCCGACTCCACCATGAAGCATCCCTCTGGCTTCATTATTGTTGTTATTGTTATTATGTTGTGTTTATTATTCCCTGCTGGACTTGCTGACCGAAAGGTTTGTCAGTTCGAATCGCAGGGTGAGCTCCCGCTGTTAGCCCCAGCTTCTGCCAACCTAGCAGTTTGAAAACATGCCCCCTAGAATTTTTGAACTTGCACTAATTTCGGCCCGGCCTTTTAAATTGCCTTGAACAGGCAGGATTACTTTTAATATATATGTGTTATGGCAACAATTTTTATGCTTATATTGTTTTGTGAATCTTATGGTTATATTGTTTACTCTGTATGTATTGATGATGTTACTTGGAAACCATTCTGAGTCCCCTCGGGGAGATAGAGCAGTATATAAATAAGGTTTTATAATGTGAGTAGATCAATAGGTACTGCTTCTGTAGGAAGGAAACAGCGCTCCATGCAGTCATGCTGACCACATGACCTTGGAGGCGTCTACGGACAATGCCAGCTCTTCGTCTTAGAAATGGAGATGAGCACGACCACCCAGAATTGGACTTAATGTTTACCTTTACCTTATATGGCCTGTTTTTTCTCTTCGCAATGAGACTCCATTTGCCTGGAAGGATGTCATGGGTCCCCTTCTTAGCAGCCCTGTCTCAGCCAAGTGACCACAGGCTCTTCCCAGCTCAAACATCCCCCCAAATAAGCAGATTGTAGGGTGTCCCTAATTGGGTCCCATGAGTAGGAGATCCAGGTCTGAGACCACCCACTCCCCACCAGATTGAGTTGGAGAGGTCCTCTGTGCTTCTGACGTGAAGAACAAGGGAATGTGCCCTGGATCCAGAACAGAGTTGAATAGTGGCTCAGCATGGAGGCACTATTGTCACTGGCCCTTCTCTGATGGAGATGACCCATAGCACCTGATCCCCCCCCCCCGTGCCCCCTCCCCAAGACCTCCGATCACCCTGTTCTCATGCTCTGTTCCCCACAGGAGTACACCATCGACATCTTCTTTGCCCAGACCTGGTACGACCGGCGCCTGCGCTTCAACAGCTCCCTCCAGGCGCTGACCCTCAACACCAACATGGTCAGCCGCATCTGGATCCCAGACACCTTCTTCCGGAACTCCAAGAGGGCAGATTCGCACTGGATCACCACCCCCAACCAGCTCCTCCGGATCTGGAGTGATGGCAAAGTGCTCTACACACTCAGGTGCCCCAAGGACCAAAGACTCAATGGGTGACAGGAGAAGGGGGGGTCCAGACTGGAAAATGGGACGGGGTTGTGTGGGGGGAAAGGCAGGGGGAGCTCCCACCCCACTGTTTAAATGGCCATCTCTCCAACTAACACTTCACTCTCCACCTAGGCTGACCATCGAGGCTGAATGCCTCCTCCAGCTGCAGAACTTTCCCATGGACACCCACTCCTGCCCCTTGGTCTTCTCCAGCTGTGAGTACCATCGTCTTGAGGAGGGGACCTTGGTCAGAAGCCACCTGAAGGGCCACCTTGTCCAGGAGGATGAGGGAGGGGGGAGTTGCACCCAATGGTCTATAGGCTGAGGAGAAGCCCTCTCTCTCTCTCTCTCCCTCTGCAGCCACCTCACCCCTTCCATCCGACCTTGAGCAAAGAGGGAACATGAGGGGTGGGTTGCAAGTGTAGCCTCACAGCCCTGCCAGCCTTTTTTGTTCCCTGGGGCCTATTCTTTGAGGAGTGAGGCAACAACAGCCCCCTCCACGCACACAGCAAGTTGTTGGGTGAGTGGGCTTATTAACAAAAGACCCTCCTCATAACTGCACAGCAGAGTAACTTATTAGCAGCAGCGTGACCCAGCACCAGTAGCCCAAAGTGATAAAAAAAGAACAAAAACACAAAGACCAATGTTATCCCTTCCATAGGAGGCTTTTCTTTATAGCAAAAAATATGGTTGCACTATTTACACAAATAAGGTTTCCATAACACAAATAAACAACTTCATAGTATATGGCATTCTCTCCTGACGTTTCACCTGCATCTATGGCAAGCATCCTCAGAGGTGAGCCCCCGGTGGCACAGTGGGTTCAACCCCTGTGCCAGCAGGACTGAAGACCGACAGGTCGCAGGTTCAAATCCAGGGAGAGGCGGATGAGCTCCCTCTATCAGCTCCAGCTCCTCATGCGGAGACATGAGAGAAGCCTCCCACAAGGATGATAAAATATCAAAATCATCCGGGCATCCCCTGGGCAACGTCCTTGCAGACGGCCAATTCTCTCACAACAGGATTCTCCTGACACGACAAAAAAAAAAATCCTCAGAGGTAGTGAGGATGCTTGCCATAGATGCAGGAGAAACGTCAGGAGAGAATGCCTCTAGACCATGGCCATATAGCCCGAAAAAACCTACAACAACCCAGTGATTCTGGCCATGAAAGCCTTCGACAACTTCATAGTAGCTTTACACACAGCAGCCTTCACACCTGAGTTTTCTCACATGAGGCTTCTCTCACACAGAGGTTTACCTCACATTTCTCAGGATGACGGCTTTGGCCCACTAACTCAAACAGGCTTTAGCCTACTCATTCTCCTCAGGACGGCACTAGTTTTGGCTCACTAACTCAGAGAGGCTTTGGCCTACTAACTCTTTCAGTGCTTGACTCAAACTTTTGTGATCAAAAACCCAGTTAATTTTTAATATTTCTGACACAAGTGACATCTATAGACACATGCGCTCTCACACTGCTGACCTCAGAAAGGACCAGAAGGAAGACTAGAAGGCCCTGCCACTACTCGCTCCTTTAAAGGAGACAGACCCCTCTTGGCTTCCAATGTTTGTGGGGGGGGGGGGGGCTACTGGCTATTTCCTCCTCCTTTCCAGGACTCCAAGCCCAGAAAGACCCCGAATCACTAAGATCCTCATCCCTGAAATAACAGCAGCAGTGGCACAGTTGCTCCCCGCTCTCTCCCTCCACCCCCCTTCGCCTGGGCCCATCTTGGCTAATTAACAGGACACGCCACGCTCACTTGGCAATTAATTATAAGCACAGTGGAGTGGCGCTGGGAGGTCTCCCCCCTCCCCAACCCATCTCTCTCAGAGGCATCAGAATTGCCGCTTCCAAGTAGATCTGACATTTCGCTTTGCAGATGAACCGGGCAGGAAACTCGCCGGGAGCCCCATCTCTGCTCTGCCTGGGAAAGCACCCTGCCTGCCCCCCTCCCCATCCTTCTCCTGTGAGGCCCAAGGAAGAGCAAGCAAGGGGCAAAGCACTTCCAAGAGTCCCTCTCTCACCACCTTGCCTTCCCCCTGGGTGAGGTGTGGATAACAGATGCCTCCTTTTGTTGCCCCCCCCCCTTGCTGTGCTCCATCCCTCCCAGATGGCTATCCAAGAGAGGAGATCATCTATCGCTGGAGGAGGTACTCCATTGAAGTTTCCGACCAGCGCACATGGAGGCTCTATCAGTTTGACTTCATTGGCCTGAGGAACACATCCGAGGTTCTGCGGACAGGGGCAGGTGAGACCTCTCCTCAGAGGTGGGCATCCAGGCAAGAAGTCTAGGCCAAGTAAGAAAATTGCAAGGTGCAATGGGCAAGGGACAGCTGGCAGGATGGGGAGCAGACTACTTGTAGGGAAGCCTTCCCCATTGAGGACACTCAGGATGCCTTGAGACAACAGCTAGAGCAGTGTTTCTCTACCAGGGGGTTGGAACCCTGGGCAGGGGGAAACACGAGGGGGTGTCGGATGGGTTGCCAAAGACCATCAGAAAGCACATTATTTTCTGTTGATCATGGGCATTCTGTGTGGGAAGTTTGACCCAATTCTCTCATTGGTGGAGCTCAGAATGCTCTTTGATTGTAGGTGAACTATAAATCCCAGCAACTACAACTCCCAAATGTCAAGGTCTATTTTCTCCAAATTCCACCAGTGTTCACATTTGGGCGTATTTAGGATTCGTGCCAAGTTTGGTCAAGATCCATCATTGTTTGAGTCCACAGTGCTCTCTGGATGTAGGTGAACTACTACTCCAAAACTCAAGGTCAAGGCCCACCAAACCCTTCCAGTATTTTCTTTTGGTCATGGGACTTCTGTGTGCCAAGTCTGATTCAGTTCCATTACTGGTGGAGTTCAGAATGATCCACCAGTGTTCACATTTGGGCATATTGAGTATTGTGCCAAGTTTGGTCCAGATCCATCATTGTTTGAGTCCACAGTCCTCTCTGAATGTAGGTGAACTACAACTTCCAAACTCAAGGTCAATGCCCACCAAACCCAGTATTTTCTGTTGGTCATGGGAGTTCTGTGTGCCAAGTTTGGTTCAATTCCATCTTTGCTGGACTTCAGAATGCTCTTTGATTGTAGGTGAATTATAAATCCCAGGAACGACAACTCCCAAATGACAAAATCAACCACTCCCCAATCCCACCAGTATTCAAATTTGGGCATATCTGGTATTTGTGCCAAATTTGGTCCTGTGAATGAAAATACATCCTGCATATCAAATATTTACATTATGATTCATAACAGAAGCAACATTACAGTTATGAAGTAGCAACAAAAATAAACTGAGGAACTGTATTAAGGGGTTATGTCATTAGGAAGATTGAGAAACACTGAGCTAAAGAAAGATGGGAAGGTAGCATAAGCACCCCCCTGCCCTTCACCTGGAAAAGTGGCCTTCCCACCACCACCACCACCCCAGCCACGATAAGGCTGCTACACAGCTTCCTCCTCCAAATCTATGGCAAACAGTGTCCTTGTGAGCACTGTTATGGTCATTTCCCCAAAACAGCAGAGTAAACATACAGTAAAGAATACTTAGTACAGAGCAGGCATGGGTAAACTTCAGAGTTTCTGAGTCTCCTTTGGAAGGACAGAGTTCAGCACCTTGGAGAGCTCACATGAAACTGATTGCCAGGCCAAGGCAGTTTGAGGTTGACCTGACCTCTGGCCTCCAGGGGGCTTCAGGGTCAAGGAAGGAAGCAGAGCATGCATGGGCCAACTTGGGCCCTCCTTCCAGGTGCTTTGGACTTCAACTCCCACAATTCCTAACAGCCTCAGGCCCCTTTTCAATCTGAGGATGAAAAGGAGGGGAGGAAAAAGAACAAAGAGTGAAAGAAAACAGAACAACAACAACAGGCCTTCAGGAATGAAAGAGAAAGAAGGGAGTCCCTCAGCCTCACTTAATTCTATCAATCTGCTTCTCATTGAGGACTACAGACTTGCACAGTGTGAGGTTGAATTCCAACAAGGGCCACATGTACAAGACTCCATTGTGTGCTCTTTGTGGCAATGGCAGGAGGTCATGCTGGGCTTCTGAGGGTGGGTCCTACAAGCCCTGAGGCCCAGGAGGCAGTCAGGCTGGACCAGAATGGAGTCTGTGGTGGTGGGTGGCTGGTCTGTGCTTTGTCCCTGAGCATCTGTGGCTCCTTCTCTCCCTCCCTAGGAGAATACATGGTCATGACGGTCTCCTTTGACCTGAGCAGGAGGATGGGCTACTTTGCCATCCAGACCTACATCCCCTGCATCCTCACTGTGGTCCTCTCCTGGGTCTCCTTCTGGATCAAGAGGGACTCCACTCCGGCCCGGACCTCACTTGGTAAGAGAGGGAGGGAAGGGTGGGTGGAAGGGGGTACAGTACTCCCTTGGCCCCTCAATGGCCCACCATCCAGGATGATTCCAGGAGCCTCTTTTGAGGATCAGGGTTCCTGAGCTCAGGAAGCACTTCCTGGCCAAATTCTGCCATTGTCCCAATTAGGCATGCACAACAGCCAAAAGAACATGACTGGGATGGCCTGCAAGTCCAGTCCAGGTCTTTTGGACTTTCTTACTTAACTGCCCCTCTCCTTCAATGCAGTTAAGTAAGAAACCCCTTCTCCATCATTGAGGTGCATGCTGACACCAGTGGGGAGTCTACCCTGCCTCTCCCCGGATTCGTGTCAGGAGCGACCTGAGAAACTGCAAGTCGCTTCTGGTGTGAGAGACTTGGCCGTCTGCAATGATGTTGCCCAGAGGACGCCCGGATGATTTGATGTTTTTATCATCCTTGTAGGAGGTTTTTCTCATGTCCCCGCATGAGGAGCTGGAGCTGATAGAGGGAGCTCATCCGCCTCTCCCTGGATTCGAACTCGTGACCTGTTAGTCTTCAGTCCTGCCGGCACAGGGGTTTAACCCACTGCACCACCGGGTGTGCTGACAGGATTGCTGACTGACAGCTTCAAATCCAAGGAGAGCAGGTTGAGCTCCCTCTGTCAGCTCCAGCTCCCCATACAGGGACATGAGAGAAGCCTCCCTCAACCTGCTGCCTATTCTCCCCCAAACACACACAGGCATCACCACTGTGCTGACCATGACCACGCTGAGCACCATCTCCCGCAAGCACCTGCCTCGGGTCTCCTACATCACGGCCATGGACCTCTTTGTCTCCGTCTGCTTCATCTTTGTCTTTGCCGCCCTCATGGAATATGCTACCCTCAACTACCTGGTGGGGAACAAGAAGCCTCCGCCGCTGTGCAGCAGCAGAAGCAACCATAATCCAAGCAGTAGAAGTACTCAACGTGGTGGCGGCCATCAACAAAGCAGCAACAGTCGAGGGGGGACCAGACTGGTGAGTGGGGGGCAGGGAGGAGTCAGGGTGGTCCCCCCCAGCCAGCTAAAGGCCTGGGTGTTTGGGGTCTTCCTCTTGAGTGAGTAGGGTTATTGACAAAAGACCCTCGTCATAAATGTACAGCAGAATAACTTACCCCAAACTTATAAAAAGAACAACAAACACAGATCATTGTTATCTCTTCCATAGGCTTTTCTTTCTAGAAAAATAATATGGTTGCACTATTTACAAGAATAAGGTTTCCATAACACAAATGAAGTTCTTTATACTTCCTTCTTCACTTCCACACTGGGCTTCTTTCTCATGCAGATAAAAAGCTTCACTCTCACAGAGCCTCTTCACACTAAACTTACACGGGAGCTTCACACACTAGCCTTATGCACACAGCAGCCTTCACATTGGCATTTTACACATGAGGCCTTCAACCTGAGGCTTCTCTCACTGAAGCCTTCTCACACCCGGCCTCCTACACACTGAGGCCTACTAACTCTGAGGCATTATCATGCTGAGGACTGGAGCTTTCTCATACTGAGGCTTCTCTCATATTGAGGGAAACTAACACTGAGGCATACTAAGCTACAGGCACACCTGCTTATATTGAACTGCAGCTTTTGTGGAGTCATTGCATCCATTTAACCCTTTCAGTGCTTGACTCACATTTTTGCAATTCAAAATAACTAGTTAATTTTTAATATTTCTGACACTTCCAGCCTCCAGTGTTTTGTTTTTTTTTTGTTTTGTCGTGTCAGGAGCGACCTGAGAAACTGCAAGTCGCTTCTGGTGTGTGAGACTTGGCCGTCTGCAATGACGTTGCCCAGAGGACGCCCGGATGATTTGATGTTTTTATCATCCTTGTGGGAGGCTTCTCTCATGTCCCCGCATGAGGAGCTGGAGCTGATAGAGGGAGCTCATCCGCCTCTCCCTGGATTCGAACTCATGACCTGTTAGTCTTCAGTCCTGCCGGCACAGGGGTTTAACCCACTGCGCCACTGGGTGTGCCGACAGGATTGCTGACTGACAGCTTCGAATCCAGGGAGAGCAGGTTGAGCTCCCTCTGTCAGCTCCAGCTCCCCATAGAGGGACATGAGAGAAGCCTCCCACAAGAATGGTAAAACATCAAACATCCGGATGTCCCCTGGGCAATGTCCTTGCAGACGGCCAATTCTCTCACACCAGAAGTGACCTGACACACACACACAAAAGCCTTCTGCCTGTCTACCTGCTTTCCTCAGCCTTCCCTGACATGCTCTCCACCTTCTGCCCCTGCAGCTAACTGGCCATGCCCACCTGGTACCCTCCTATACGGCCATTCACATCAACAGCCTGGTGACCTGGCCGCCCGACATGGAGGAGGAGAGCGAGGAGCTGGACCCAGCCGCGTCCTGCAACTGCGCAGAAGGAGAGGAGTGCCGGCGGTTCTTCTGCTGCATCGAGGACTGCCGGACGGGCGCCTGGCGCGAAGGCTACCTCCGCATCCACATCTCCCGCCTAGACTCCTACTCTCGGGTCTTCTTCCCCACCGCCTTCCTGCTCTTCAACATTGTCTACTGGATGGCTTACCTCTATCTCTAGCTCCCCCAACAACAAGGACTTGCCTGGAGGCAACAAGACATAGCCAGTGGAGTTGGGGGCGGTCACTGTGTTACCCACTTGGCTGTGAGAGAGGGACCTCGAGAGGGCATCCAGCCCAACCCTCTGCTGGTGCAGGAGGGCCTTCTGCGCAGATCCTCTGCACCCCGTCCTGGAAACATCTCCTGAAGGGAGGAGGCATCCCTTCCTTCCAAGGCTGGCTGGCCATCACGTCATGAAGAGGGGCAGCCACGCAATTGGTGCAAGCTCCCACAGTCCCTTTACGTTCCATTCTTGCACTATTTAGGTCCATGACTGCAAGTGTGCTTGGAATAGGTCTTACTGGCTAAGGGAGTGTGCATTTCATGGGGGAAGCAGAGAAAATGGGGGGAAGCTGTGAGATTTTGAGACTTCCCCACCTCACCCTCCACACATATATTTATTTGGGGGCTTTTTCTTTGTCAGGAGCAGCTTGAGAAATTGCAAGTTGCTTCTGGTGTGAAAGAATTGGCCGTCTGCAAGGACGTTGCCCAGGGGATGCCTGGATGTTTGATGTTTTACCATCCTTGTGTGAGGCTTCTCTCATGTCCCCACATGGGGAGCTGAAGCTGACAGAGGGAGCTCAACCCAGTCTTTCTGGGAAAGTCAGAGCCCAGCAGCTGAGGCTCTGGCCCTGCAGGGGGGAGATGGGGTGAGGTGGGGTGGCTGCCTCTAAATTAAACCTCACAAGCTGCTCCAGTTGCTCCCAGCCTCATCCCATTAACATTTACTCCTGATGTAAATTACAAATAAATGTTTTGAGGAAGAGAGACTTTTGGAGTAAGCGTCACATTAAAAGCCTGTCTCCGGAAGAGATGCAGGAGGCGGGAAAGAGGCTGACAGGGCCAGCTGGGCCCCACTTTCGGAGAGCAAATCCCGTCAAGGCCCGAGAGATGGGCTCCGACACTGCGGAATATGATCCGAATAATGAAGTGTCATGTTTAATTCGTTCAGAATGTTTGCCTTGTGCGGTGTTGGGAAGCCGGGGTGAGAGCCTGGCGACACTGGCATCCTTGGCACACTGGCATCCGCACGGGTGCCTTGGATGGAGCCGAGCAAAGCCGTGAGGCAGGGAATGGATGTAGATGCAAACAATGCACAAATATCTATAGTAACATAGAAACAAGAATGTATGTATGTGTATTTTATAAGACTCTCAAGAAAATAATATAAATCAAGGTAATATGTTCTCTAATGGAGTAAATTGTCTAGACTTTATAGCATTTATAGCATTTAACAGTAATGTTATCAGCACATTATAAGTAAATGTAGGTTATCTTATCAATATAGAGTAATGAATAGTAGACTAGAGATAATAAAGTCCATCCTTTCCTGGCGTCAGATTTCAGTGCAGGAATTCAACAGTCTCTGTCTTTATCCTCAAAAGAATTCTTCTTTTAGCAACACAGTCTTTAAGGAGTACTTCTTATGCAGCAGAGTCTTCCTTAAGTAACACAATTTCACAATTTCTACAAGGTCTCCCGGTATGTTCTCCTTGTTTCTACTTAAGAGGTAGCCTAGGTATGACTCATTGCTCGTTATAGAACTCCTCCAGAACAGAGCCTGTACTATTGAAGAGAGTGTAAAGAGAGTGTAAGTAGAGTAGCATGTTTCTTTATTGTTATTATAGAATGTTTCACTAGAAATGTGAATTGGGGAGTTTCATGTATCTATTGTGTATGTTATTTTTACTCCTTTACTTAGTGCATTACATATATGTGATAACATCCTGAAGAAGATAATTTTTCGAAACAAGGAGAACATACCGGGAGACCTTGTAGAAATTGTGAAATTGTGTTACTTAAGGAAGACTCTGCTGCATAAGAAGTACTCCTTAAAGACTGTGTTGCTAAAAGAAGAATTCTTTTGAGGATAAAGACAGAGACTGCTGAATTCCTGCACTGAAATCTGACTCCAGGAAAGGATGGACTTTATTATCTCTAGTCTACTATTCATTACTCTATGTTGATAAGATAACCTACATTTACTTATAATGTGCTGATAACATTACTGTTAAATGCTATAAATGCTATAAAGTCTAGACAATTTACTCCATTAGAGAACATATTACCTTGATTTATATTATTTTCTTGAGAGTCTTATAAAATACACATACATGCATTCTTGTTTCAATGGATGTAGATGGCCTGCCTGGGAGGACTCAGTTGGGAGTGGGATGCCATGGGCCATGCAAGTCCCCAGCGTTTTGTCACCCGCACTGCTGCCTATGAGGCATGCAAACCCTCCTTCCCTCTGTCTCCATGTCTGCTTAAAAAGGTGCCATCTTTCCAGAGAGAGGCAAGAAGACCCCTGACATGGTGTGCAGTAGACAAGAGAAGAATTCCTTTTTTCTAAAGGAGCCCCCGGTGGTCAGTGGGTTAAACCACTGAGTTGCTGAACTTGCTAACTGAAAGGTCGCAGGTTTGAATTGCGGGAAGTGGGGTGAGCTCCCACTGTTAGCCCCAGCTTCTGCCAACCTAGCAGTGTGAAAACAAGCAAATGTGAGTAGATCAGTAGGTACTGCTCCAACAGGAAGGTAATGGCACTTCGAGTCATGCTGGCCACATGACCTTGGAGGTGTCTATGGACAACGCTGGCTCTTTAGCTTAGAAATAGAGGTGAGCACCAACCCCCAGAGTTGGACACAGCTGAACTTAATGAAAACATGCAAATGTGAGTAGATCAATAGGTACCGCTCCGGCGAGAAGATAACGGTGCTCCATGCAGTCATGCTGGCCACATGACTTTGGAGGTGTCTATGGACAATGCCAGCTCTTCGGCTAAGAAATAGAGATGAGCACCAACCCTCAGAGTTGGAGACGACTGGACTTTAATGTCAGGGGGAAACCTTTACCTAAAAGGAAAGAAAAAGATGCCTCCCATATCTCCTCTGGAATATTTTTTTTCATTGTGATTTACTTCAGGGACACACACCAATGCCATGAATTGTGTTCTTTCCCTCGTTGCTTTATTATAACCAGGGCCAGCTTCAGGTTTAGGAGGGCAAGGGGCAAAATGTGCCCAGGAGGACTCTACCCCCTCTGAGTGGCAGTTGCCACTGACGTTGCTGCTCCTCTTCGTCCTCCTTCTCTCCAATGGTGCCAAAACTTCTTTGCCAACAAGGAGGGTGCTCTCCTCCTCCTCCTCCTCCTCCTCCTCCTCCTCCTCCTCCTCCCTCTGCAGGCCCAGGTGGCCAGGTGTTTGGCCTGGGAGAAGCACAGCTTGGAGAGGGCTGGTCCAGGTGTGGACACAGCTGAGCCTCCCCAGAGCCAGCCCCCTTCCCTCTTCTCTTCTCCCCCTTTGCAGCCCTCCAGGTCTCTGAGCAGGGAGCAGAGGCACAGGAGGCAGTTTGGCCTGCGGTGGATCCGCCGCCCTGCCATTCATGAGGCGTTGTCCCCGGCTGCACCCTTTCCCATTCAGGTCTCCACACGCAGCTCCCTTCTCCTCTCAGCCATATTCCTCCCTGTACTTTGGCCACTGCTGAATGTGCATCTCTCCATCACTTGCCATGAAATAAATCTGTTTTTGCAATTTGGATGATCTCTGCTTTTTTTTCTGATCTTTATCACCATCTGCTTGGGACAACTGAACAGCGAGGTGGGGAGGGTTGGAGAGGGGAAAGCAAAGCCACTTTCCTACTCGGGCAATGGTGCGAAGAAAGGAACTCCCCGAGTCAAGTCTTTGAAGTCACGAAATGGATGTATCTCCAACCGAAATGGTTTCTGTTGATGTCGGATGAGAGTAGCACAATATTTATGCAGCAAGTCTGTTTGATGGCACTCCAAACATGGTGGCTTCCAAGAATATCACAGCGGAGACCAGTGAAGGCAGCCCTGGCAGCCGCTGGTTCATCCCACACCAAGGCACCCATTCTTTCTCCCTCACCAGGTACTCGGCCCCCAATCTATGACACAGGACCACATTCACTCACTACCATTCATGTGCCAGGGGAAGGAGCCCCCGGTGGCGCAGTGGGTTAAACCCCTGTGCCAGCAGGACTGAAGACCGACAGGTCGCAGGTTCGAATCCAGGGAGAGGCGAGTGAGCTCTTGCTATCAGCTCCAGCTCCTCAAGCGGGAACATGAGAGAAGCCTCCCACAAGGATGATAAAAACAGCAAAAATCATCCTGGCATCCCCTGGGCAACCTCCTTGCAGACGGCCAATTCTCTCACACCAGAAGCGACTTGCAGTTTCTCAAGTCACTCCTGACACGAAAAAAGAAAAAAATGTGCCGGGGGTGCCAGAACTTGCTGGGAAGAGTGTTTGCTTGACTCAAGTACTGGGGGAGGGCAGTGGCACATAACCATAGCGCACAACCATTGCACAGACCCTCTTAGAATCATAAAATCATAGAGTTGGAAGAGACCTCATGGGCCATCCAGCCCAACCCCATTCTGCCAAGAAGCAGGAAAATTGCATTCAAAGCACCCCTGACAGATGGCCATTCAGCCTCTGTTTAAAAGCTTCCAAGGAAGGAGCCTCCACCCAGAGGTGGCCCTAGGTAATTTTCAATGGTAAAAAAACAGTATTTCCCCCCCCCCCCCACCAATTATTGATATATATTTTCTGTTCGTCGTGGGAGTACTGTGTGCCATATTTGGTTCAATTCCATCATTGGTGGAGTTCAGAATGCTCTTTGATTGTAGGTGAACTATACATCCCAGTAGCTACAACTCGCATATGTCAAGGTCTATTTTTCCCCAAGAGCGCCTCAAGAGTGCCCCTGGGCACAATCAACTATACTGCAAATGCTTACTTTGCATAACAGGTTGCTGAGGCTTCCCCCGGACTGTTGTGAGCTGAGGGGGCGCTCCTCAAGTGGTGGTCGAGGGGCATTTACAGAGGCCCCTCTGCGCCCCTGGCAAAAAAAAATGTACTGCGACCGCTTACTTTACGTAATGGATGAGTCGCCCCTGCTTCCACCACACTCCACTGCTGAATGGCTCTCACAGTCAGGAAGTTCTTGCTAATGTTCACATGGAATCTCCTTTCTTGTAGTTTGAAGCCATTGTTCCGCATCCTAGTCTCCAGAGCAACAGAAAACAAGCTTGCTCCCTCGTCCCTATGACTTCCTCTCATGTATTTATACATGGCTCTCATCATGTCTCCTCTCAGCCTTCTCTTCTTCAGGCTACACAAGCGCAGCTCTTTAAGCCGCTCCTCATAGGGCTTGTTCTCCAGACCCTTGATTATTTTAGTCGCCCTCCTCTGGACACATTCCAGCTTGTCAATATCTCTCTTCAATTGTGGAGCCCAGAATTGAACACAATATTCCAGGTGTGGTCTAACCAAGGCAGAATAGAGAGAGAGCATGACTTCCCTGGATCTAGACACTAGACACCTATTGATGCAGGCCATAATCCCACTGGGTTTTTTTTTTACCTCTGCATCACATTGTTGGCTCATGTTTAACTTGTTGCCCATAAGGTCCCCCAAGATCTTTTTCACATGTACTGCTCTCAAGCTACGCGTCCTCCATTCTGTATCTTTGCATTTCATTTTTTCTGCCTAAGTGGAGTATCTTGCACTTGTCTTGTATCTTGCACTCTTCTGCTTTGTCTGGATCTGCTGATGCATCTTCACCTCTGTGCTGCCCCCCTTCCCCTCCTCCATGCAGTGTCATCATCTTGCTCCCACTTAATATTTTTTTTAAAAAAATCTAAAATGTGATGTTGTTCAAGATCATGATGATGTTGCAAAAACTCAAAGTGGCTCTGATCGGCTAAATGGATTTGGGGACCTTAGGTTTTGCTTAAAGTGCTCCCGCTCCTGCTGTCCTCCCTTGCTGCTTGCTGACATGTAAGGACAGGCCGCCTGACCAGGATTTGGATTGGTGGCCAGGCAGCCCAGGGGCCCTCAGATAGTGCCAGAGGCGACTCTTTCTGCTCCTTGGGGCCAGGAAGGAGGTCCAGAGCCCACTGGGACTGCCTTTCCTTCCTCCCTGCCTCCCATCCCTGAGTAGCTCCTTCTGCCAAGAGGCTCTTTTCTTGTCATCCTCATCCACTGGTTTGTGTTCTAGCCTCTGGAACAGCAGAAAGCACTCTGCTCCATCGTCCACGCGAGGCCTGGCATGAAAAAGAGTGGAGTATTATCAGAATAAATGAGCTCTCCCTCTATGCACACAGAGAAAGACTGGAAGGGAAAGAGAGAGCCTGTATTGTCGAAGGCTTTCGTGACTGGAATCACTGGGTTGTTGTGAGTTTTCCAGGCTGTACGGCTATGTTCCAGAAGCACTCTCTCCTGATGTTACACCTGCATCTATGGCAGGCATCCTCAGAGGTTATGAGGTCTGTTGGAAACTAGGAAAATTGGGTTTATATATCTGTGGAATAATGTCCAGGGTGGGAGAAAGAACTCTTGTCTGGCAGCATTCTCTCCTGACGTTTCACCCCATCTATGGCAGGTATCCTCAGAGGTTGTGAGGTCTGTTGGAAACTAGGAAAATTGGGTTTATATATCTGTGGAATAATGTCCAGGGTAGGAGAAAGAACTCTTGTCCGGCAGCATTCTCTCCTGACGTTTCACCCCATCTATGGCAGGCATCCTCAGAGGTTGTGAGGTCTGTAGGAAACTAGGAAAATGGGGTTTATATATCTTTGGAATGATGCCCAGGGTGGGAGAAAGAACTCTTGTCTGTTTGAGGTAGGTGCGAATGTTGTAATTGGTCACCTTGATGAGCATAGACCAGGGGTCCACAAACCTTTTAAGCAGAGGGCCAGGTCACAGTCCCTCAAACTGTTGGAGGGCCGGATTACAATTCGAAAAAAAAGAAAAAAGAATGAATTTCTATGCACAGTGCATGTATCATATTTGTAGTGCAAAAACACTTTAGAACAATACAATAATTAAAATGAAGAACAATTTTAACCAATATAAACTTATTAATATTTCATTAGGAAGTGTGGGCCTGCTTTTGGCTGATGAGATAGGATTGTTGTTGTTGTGTGCTTTCAAGTCGTTTCAGACTTAGGTTGACCCTGAGCGAGGGCTGGGTAAATGACCTTGGAGGGCCGTATTCAGCTTCCGGGCTGTAGTTTGAGGACCCCTGGCAAGACCATTTAATTAGCTAGGCCAATAAATGCTAATCAATAAATACTAGGCCAATAAATACTAGGTTTTAAATGCATTATGGTGTCATTGTTTTTAGTGTTTTATTGTTTTGCTTGATGTTTTATTATTTGCTTTATGAGTTTTACTGTTGTATTTGTATGCTGTTGTTTTGTTGGTGGCCTTGGCCTTTGTAAGCCGCATCGAGTCCTTCGGGAGATGTTAGCGGGGTATAAATAAAGTTAATAAATAATAAATAAATAATAATCATGGCTGGAATCACTGGGTTGTTGTAGGTTGTTCAGGCTACATGGCCATGTTCTAGAAGCATTCTCTCCTGACGTTTCGCCTGCACCTATGGCAGATCTCACTAACTCAGAGGATGCTTGCCTTTATTATTATTGTTATTATTATTATTACTATTATTATGTCATTAAATGCTAATCAAGGTGGCCAATTGCAACATTCACACCTACCTCAAACAGACAAGAGTTCTTTCTCCCACCCTAGACAGATATATAAATCCAATTTTCCTGATTTCCAACAGACCTCACAACCTCTGAGGATGCCTGTCACAGATGTAGGCAAAACATCAGGAGAGAATGTTTCTGGGACATGACCATACAGCCCAGGAAACTTACAACATCCAAGAGAGCCTTTACCTGTGTGGGATTTCTTCAGGAGCAACCTGGAGGCCAGAATCCCTGGCCAGCCCCCAACAAAGCCAAGCTCAGCCCTTCCAGATGAGCAGGGGCCCTTTGTGCTTGGAAGGCAAGCCCTGTGTTGGGTTTCATCCCTGGACTGCACAAGTCTCCTATGTCATCAAGTCTCCAGACCTCAATGAGGTAGGATTAAGTTGCCCCCACCCACCTCCACATTTCTATGCATGTTTCCCAAAAGGGTCTTTGCACTTACTTCTTGCCACTGTCTCCTCCCTTTCGATGATGTAGCATTGGAATCTGTGAGGTAGCTTCCTTTTAAAAAAGCATTTTGATTGCCCTGGGCTGACCATGTGACCTTTTGCCTTTTCCAGCCTCTTCTGCTTTTTCTTTCCACCTATGAGGATGCACATTTTGCCTCCCTCTAGGCAAAAAGTAGCTGCATTGATTTTTTACCCTTTTACCCGGTGGTGCAGTGGGTTAAACCCCTGTACCGGCAGGACTGAAGACCGACAGGTTGCAGGTTCGAATCCAGGAAGAGGCGGATGAGCTTCCTCTGTCAGCTCCAACTCCTCATGCGGGGACATGAGAGAAGCCTCCCACAAGGATGATAAAACATCAAATCATCCAGGCGGCCCTGGGCAACGTCCTTGCAGACGGCCAATTCTCTCACGACAAAAAAAACTGTTTAGAAGATGAGATTTAGTAAGCTAGTTGTCTCCAAGACCTTTTCTATTAAGAATGTATTTCTTTTACCTCGGTATATATTTTTTAACCTAAAGTTCTGACTCTGCAATCCTGTGCCATCCCAAGGAATAGCTTATCTTAAATTTCTGCTGGTTATGAAGTTTACTTCTGGTACTCTGCTATATTTATGGTGGAATCACCCCAACTGAGGCTTATTTTTGAGCCTAACCACTCAGATTCCTCAACACCCTGGCTTTAGGAAAGGGCTCCATGCCCAGTGCCCTCTACCCCTCCACTGGCCTTTGCCCCATAGGCCTCGCTTTGGGCTTCTCAGTTCCACCAGGAGGGAGAGCATCCACAGCCAGTGGCAGATTAGGTAGCTTAGAGGGATGGGATCAGCACAGATCAGGCGAGAGATTAGGCGGCGCATCAGCGAAACCAGATTTGGGGAAAGAGATGAGATGGGATTGAACCCAGAGGGATTAGACTCAGGTGGTGCAAGGGGCATTTCAGGAGGGAGGGGACTTTATCGTGCCTTCAGTGCATTGGAATGCATGCCTGGCCTGAGAGGGGAGTCAGACGAAGGGCCCCAACAGCCATGAAAGAGAGGCTGGGAGGAAGGGAGGGATTCTGGGATTCAAGGATGATCTACACAAGAAAATAGACCTCGTTATGGGAAATAGATAGAGTAACAGATAGGATTTTAAGGGAAAAAAATAGGTAGGGAAGTCATCTCTTGACTCATCTTCTCTCTCTATCTGTCCTGCCCCCACCTTTTGATTCTTTGACTGATATTCTTAGGGTCACAACCACTTCTCAAGTATTCCAGTTTTCCCCCTTCCTGGAATTTCCCATTCTATCAGAATGAACCTCGTTCCTTTTCCTCTCATCCATGTCCTTGATAGCTTTTGGGAACTTTAGCTACTGGCTATTGGCTCTTTAAGTGTGGGACTCCAGAGTTCCTCCTGATGATATTCACATTGAAAAAGAGGAATTCATCACTTGGCAAACACTGCACCCTCTCAGCTCTTCTGGACCATTGCCTTCCTGCACCTTCGCCTTTGTTTTGGTTGCCACAGAAACAAGGAAGGGAGCACTGCCAGGAAAGGGATGCATGTGCCGAGCACCAAAAGGCCAAGAGCTAGGGGTCATGAAAATGGAACCCTTGAGCCTCCAAGTACCCAATTGATTGACTCTTGCATTCCAGAGGGTTTTCTGAGTCGGGGGGGGGGGGAGAAGCAGAGGGGGTTCTGCCTGCCCCAGAGGGCAAGACCTGGGCCTCCCAGGCCCGTAGCCAGGATTTTGATTCTGGGGGGGGGGGGGGGCTGAGTTTGATTCGGGAGGGGGGGGGGCTGAGTCTGAGTGAAAGAGGGTCTAGCCTAGCAAACCTTTTGTATCATTACCCCAATACCCCCATGCATATGGGATATATTGAGTATGGTGACCAGATCATGATATGAATAAACATAACAGTTTAAATAATGCACCAGTAAGGCCTTTTCGCGAACCACCATGAGAATTTCGGGGGGGGGGGGCTGAAGCCCCTCAAGCCCCCCCCCCCCCCCCCCCCTGAGTTCCCACCAGGGTTGGCTCTGCTTAGCTCCCAAGGCCAGACAGGATCTGGTGCCTTGAGGGCATTTCTTTTGCTGGAGGAAGAAGCTTTCCAGCCTTGAAACTGCATCTCTGTAGAAGGAGTGTGTGTGTGGGGGGGGGGGGGGACACATTCTTGGAGGGGAGAACCTCTGTGGATGGGCTCTTGAAAAAGAAAGAAAAACAAAGAGAGAGCAAGAAAGAGAAATAGAAAGCGAGAGGAATAGAAAGAAAGCAAGAGAGAGAGAGAGAGAGAAAGACAGAAAGACAGAGAGAAAGGAGGAAGAGGAAGAGAGCAGGAGAAAATGAGAGAGAGCAAGAGAAAAAGATAGAGAGCAAGAAAGTGAAAAAGAGAAAGAGAAAGCGGAGAGAGAGAGAAAGAAAGCGAGTAAGAGAAAGAGAGGAAGAGATTGAGAGGTGAGAGGGAAAGAGAGAGTGAAAGAGAAAGCAAGTAAAAAAGAGAAACAGAGAGAGAAAGCAAGAGTGAAATAGAGAGGTGGGAACCCTAGCCCAGACTCACCTCCCACCCCCACCCCACGGCACATGGCTTGGTCTCAGGCCTTTCTATGGAGCACAGTGCCCCCATGTGGCTCTTCCTCTTCCATTCTAGGAGGAATGGAGGCGGGAGGGGTCCCTGCATGTTGAGTCTGAGCCAAGCAGAGAAAGGTGGGTGTGGGATGTTTTGCGCGGAGAGGATGAGGAAGAAGGCACAGTTGACTCCGAGCTTCTCGAAACCAGGTTTTAGTGCTCCAGCCTGGTGCCGTCTTTCTTTTGCAAGGGGAGGGAGTTGGTGGTTGTGGCCCTCGTGTCCTCAGGGCCCAGTTTCCCCCTGGGCCCCTCCCTCTTCCTCCCCAGTTTCTGAGGGGGTGAGGGAGCCCAGTGAGAGGTGCCCCCCGCCTGGGCCTGGAGCAGGAGCGGTCCGTGCCTCAAGGGCAGCCACGCGGCGTTTGAGCCTCCTCTGGGCAGCCTGGTGCTCTTCCAGGAGGCGGCCAAGGCGGGCGTCCATGGTCTCCAGGCTGCCCTGTAGCCGGTCCAACTTCTGGTCCACGCTCAGATTGTCGGAGGCCTCTGCCTCGCCGCCCGCTGCTGCAGCCTCCTGGTCAAAGAGGCCCTCCTTGAGCAGCAGGTCGCGCCCACGTTCCTCTAGGAGCCGTTTGGCTTCGGGGTACTCAGCCAAGGTGGTCATGAGGTCCTCCTTGGAAAGGCAGAACAGGTCAGAGTAGCCCACACTCCGGATGTTGGCAGTGCGGCGGTTGCCCATCTTGCTGCCACGGATGTTGAGGATGCTGATCTCACCGAAGCAGCAGCCAGCCGTGAGGAGGGCCAGTCGAGTGACACCGTCATCGGCCACCACAGCCAGCTTGCCTTCCTTGACGATGTACATCTCGCGGCCCACGTCACCCTTGCGACACACATAGTCACCAGGGCTGAAGACCTGTGGGCGCAGCTTGAGGACCAGCTCCACCAGCAGACCAGCCTCACAGTCCTGGAAGATGCGCACCTGCTTCAAGGTGGACAGGTGCACGTGGATGGCGATCTCGGCTCGTAGCGCATCCGGCAGGCTCCGCAGCACATCCGCCTCATCAGCTGCCTTCTTGTGAGTCCACAGGTAGTCGAACCAGCGGATGACTTTGATCTCCAGCTCCTTGTCTACGTTGCGGAAGTGAAGGTAGTGTTTCACGGCATCCACTTTGGCCTGAAACTCGGTTCGTGCGGCAGTCGTGTTGGAGATGATGGAGCTCACATTACCCACGATGGAGGCAAAGATGAGCACGCCGATGAGGAAGTCGAAAATAACAAAGATGTACTCCACATCACGTACCGGTGGTGGGGTCTCCCCAATAGTCGTCAGCGTCAGCGTAGACCAGTACAGGCAGTAGATGTACTCACGGGCCAGGTAGCCGTACTCTGGGTCTGAGATGTTGGGGTACACCCAGGTGTCCTCCCCAAAGCCAATGCCCTTGGAGATGGCATAGTAGAAGCAGGCGTTCCAGTGGATGATCACCAGAATGTACAGCACCATGTTGGCAATGCGGAAGAGGTTGGGCAGGTTGGTCCGTGTCTCCGTCCGGTCGAAGAACTCAAACATCCGCAAGATGCGCAGCAAGCGGTTGAGGCGCAGTGCTGGGTAATGCACCCCAACCGCCAGGTAGCCCAGGTCTGTAGGCATCAGCGAAAGCACGTCTAGCTTGAACTGCCATGAGGCCACATAGTGTTCCCACAGCCGCTTGCCGTCCTTCACCAGCAAGCCCTGCTCCAGGAAGCCTGGAAGGGAGGGAGAAGAAGGAAGTTGAAGAATGGGGGAGCATGTGTATCCCAGTCCCACTCCTCCCACACAAACACATGGTCTGCCCCACAGTCAGAGGATGCATGCTCTCAGCCTGGCCCGCATATCCTGAAAACATCTTCTCCATTTTGACCATTCATTCACTCTGAAATCTGAAAAATAATTTGTTTCTAGTTTGAAAGTTACATTTCCTGCTTAATGTTGTGGTACTTACTTTGAAAGTCATTGTTCTACTTCAGTTTCGTGGCTGCCAAAAACTATGTTGAAATTGGTTGTGACTCTGTGGAATATTCATTGAAAAACTAGAGCAAAATGTGTGGGGCAAGTGGGCTTATTAACAAAGACCCTCCCCATAAATGTACAGGAGAGTAACTTATCAGCAGTGTGACCCAGCACCAGTAAAAGGTAAAGGTTGTCCCCTAACATTGTCCAGTCATGTCTGACTCTGGGGTGTGGTGCTCATCTCCATTTCTAAGCCAAAGAGCCGGCATTGTCCATAGACACCTCCAAGGTCATGTGGCCAGCATGACTGCATGGAGCGCCGTTACCTTCCCGCTGGAGCGGTACCTATTGATCTACTCACATTTGCATGTTTTCGAACTGCTAGGTTGGCAGAAGCTAGGGCTGACAGCGGAAGCTCACGCCGCTCCCCGGAATCGAACCTGCAACCTTTCGGTCAACAAGCTCGGCAGCTCAGTGCTTTAACCCACTGCGCCAACGGGGGCTCCTGATAGTAAAATAACACGGTTGCACTATTTACAAGAACAAGGTCTCCATAACACAAATAAAATTCAGTCTTCACACTGGAGTTTCACACACGAGGCATTCTCTTAATGAGGCCTACCTCACACTCTGAGGCCTTTCTCCTACAGGGAGGCCTATTACCACTGAGACCTATTCTCTCTCACTGAGAGCTCTCTCAGATTGAGGTGTTACTAAGCAACAGGTACATCTACTTATATTGAACTACAGCTTTTGCTGAGTCATTGCATCCATTTAACCCTTTCAGTGCTTGACTCACATTTTTGTCATCAAAAATACCTACTTATTTTTTTATAAAAATCTCCAGCAAGCATGCAAAGAATAAGGAAGTACTTCATCAGTGTCATAAATGGACGGTGAAGCGACAGCTCCCCCGGTGGCCAGAATACCCTCATGAAAAGCTGGAATGTTAAATTTATTTATTTATTTACTGTATTTGTATACTGCCTTTCTCAGCCTATTGGCGACTCAAGGTGGTTTCCAACAAAACAGTATACGTAGTATCACAATGCAATTTAAAAACATTACAATTACATAAACCACAGCAACAATAAAAGCAACATCATTGTTGTTGTTCATTCGTTCAGTCGTCTCCGACTCTTTGTGACCTCATGGACCAACCCACACCAGAGCTCCCTGTCGGCCGTCACCACCCCCAGCTCCTTCAAGGTCAGTCCAGTCACTTCAAGGATGCCATCCATCCATCTTGCCCTTGGTCGGCCCCTCTTCCTTTTGCCTTCCACTTTCCCCAGCATAATTGTCTTCTCTAGGCTTTGCTGTCTCCTCATGATGTGGCCAAAGTACTTCAACTTTGTCTCTAACATCATTGGTGTCTCCTTATTGTCAAGCATTGTCAGATTCCATCGTCAGTCATCAATTTCCTATATCATTTATCCATAACCGTTACTCTGTGTTTGTGAACGCTTGCTCAAACAACCATGTGTTGACTTGCTTCCGAAACGTTAAGAGGGAAGGAGCAGATCTAATCTCTCTAGGGAGGGTGTTCCATAGCCGGGGGGGCCACTGCTGAAAAGGCCCTGTCTCTCGTCCCCGCCAAGCGTACCTGTGACGAAGGCGGGACTGAGAGCAGAGCCTCTCCGGATGATCTCAAGGTTCTAGATGGTTCATAAGAGGAGATACGTTCGGACAGGTAAGTTGGGCCAGAACCGTTTAGGGCTTTAAAGGTTAAAACCAGCACTTTGAATTGTGCCTGGTAGCAAACTGGCAGCCAGTGGAGCTGGTGCAACAGGGGGGTTGTATCTCCCTGAGAGCCGCTCCAGTTAGCAATCTGGCTGCTGTCCGTTGGACCAGTTGAAGCTTCTGGACAGTCTTCAGAGGCAACCCCACGTGGAGAGCGTTGCAGTAGTCTATATGAGATGTATAGCGTCTGAGTGTCTGTCTATACATGTTGTGTGTCTATGGCATTGAATATTTGCCATGTATATGTGCATTGTAATCCGCCCTGAGTCCCCTGCAGGGTGAGAAAGGCGGAATATAAATACGGTAAATAAATAAATAAATGCATACATAAAATTTCTGACAAAATGTGCTACAGGATGATGTCCCTCCCATGAAAACAAAGTTTTTGCAGTTTAATAAACTTTCCCCATATTTTGATGACAGAACCAATTAGGAAATTACATTTATAACCCAGGAACGAAAAATCGTGTTACATAGTGTATTACGGCTGAGGCCTTTGCCATGCTTGCATGCCCACAATCAGATGGTCAAAATCAACCAGTGAAGGGTGATCAATCTTTCACAGGGGATCTCCATTTTAGAAGTGCTGTTGATTGGAGACTTTCTGGGGTCCATTTTCTGCCTCCCTCTGCACCTCCCAGCCCCATATATCTCATCCACATGCAGAGACATGTCCTTCCCTGCTACAGATGCTCACCTGTGCGCATCTGGATGACCATGTCAGCCAGGTAGATGAAATCGGACAGGTAGTCGAGGACCAACCACCAGCGCAGGTACCGCCTCTGGAGCTCATTGAAGCAGGCGCTGCAGGGAGAGGTGCTTCTTGGTGACCCTGGGAAGGGGCAACTCCCTTCACACACACACACACACACACACACACACACTAATCCAGGCAATCCTTCTGTCACAAGAAATATAATGTGCAGATTTGATAAATGTGGATTTGATACAATATGTGTGGGTATGAATGGAATTGTATGAAAGATGAATTAATGTGGTCTTGTTTGGCTGAAGACACCATTCTAAATCATTTTCTATCTGTATTGTCTGTATCTGTATCTGTATTCTGGCTTTCACGGCCAGAATCACTGCGTACTTGTGAGTTTTCCGGGCTGTATGTCCATGTCCAAGAAACATTATCTCCCGATGTTTTACCCGCATCTATGGCAGGCATCCTCAGAGGTTGTGAGGTCTGTTGGAAACTAGGAAAATGGGGTTTATATATCTGTGGAATGTCCAGGATGGGAAGAAGAACTCTTGTCTGTTTGAGGCCAGTGTGAATGTTGCAATTGGCCACCTTGATTAGCATTTAAGGGCCTAGCATTCTTTCTCCCACCCGGGACATTATTTCACAGATATATAAACCTCATTTTCCTGGTATGCAACAGACCTCACAACCTCTGAGGATGCCTGCCATAGATGCAGGTGAAACATCAGGAGAGAATGTGATTGGAACATGGCCATACAGCCAGAAAACTCGCAACAATCCATTTACTACCTGCTTGCTGGATTGTAATTAAAACCTGCTAATGAAAACTGAAATGGTAAACTGCTGAAATTGTTAAGAACTGTGACATTGATAAGGGTTTAGATTAAGATTAGGGTTAGGCTTAGGGTTATGGGTTAGGCTTAGGGTTAGGGTAAGGTTAGGGTCAGGGTTAGGGTCAGGATTAGGGTAAGGTTTAGGGTTTGGGTTAGGGTCAGGATTAGGGTTAGGGTAAGGTTAAGGGTTTGGGTTAGGATTAGGGTTTGGATTAGGAGTAGGGTTAGGATTAGGGTTAAGGGTTAGGATTAGAGTTAGGGTAAGGTTTAGGGTAAGGTTAAGGGTTAGGATTAGGGTAAGGTTAAAGGTTAGGATTAGGGTTAGGGTAAGGTTTAGGGTAAGGTTAAGGGTTTGGGTTAGGGTAAGGTTAAAGGTTAGGATTAGGGTTAAAGTAAGGTTTAGGGCAGGGGTCCTCAAACTATGGCCCGAGGGCTGGATACATCCCTCCAAGGTCATTTACCCAGCCCTCGCTCAGGGTCAACCTAAGTCTTAAACGACTTGAAAGCACACAACAACAACAACAATCCTTTGTCATGAGCCAAAAGTAGGCCCATGCTTCCCATTGAAATACTAATAAGTTTATATTTGTTAGAATTGTTCTTCATTTTAACTATTGTATTGTTTTTAAGTGTTTTTTTTTTTTGCACTACAAATAAGATATGTGCAGCGTGCATAGGAATTCATTCTTAGTTTTTTTCCTCAAATAATAATCTGGCCAACAGTTTGAGGGTCTGTGACCTGGCCCTCTGTTTAAAAAGTTTGAGGACCCCTCGTTTAGGGTAAGTTTTAGTGTTTGGGGTAGGGTTAGGGTTACGATTAGGGTTAGGATTAGGGTTTGGGTTAGGGTAAGATTTAGGGTAAGGTTAAGGGTTTAGGTTAAGATTAGGGTTAGGCTTAGGGTTAGGGTAAGGTTAAGGATTTGGGTTAGGGTTTGGCTTAGGGTTAAAGGTTAAGATGAGGGTTAGCGTAAGGTTTAGGGTAAGGTTAAAGGTTAGGGTTAAGGTTAGGGTTAAGGGTTAGGATAAGGGTTAGAGTAAGGTTTAGGGTAAGGTTAAAGGCTAGGCTTAGAGCTAGGGTAAGGTTTAAGGTAAAGTTAAGGATTTGGATTTGGGTTAGGGTTAAGGATTAGGATGAGGGTTAGAGTAAGGTTTAAGGTAAAGTAAAGGTTAGGATTAGAGTTAGGGTTAGGGTTAAGGGTTAGGATGAGGGTTAGAGTAAGGTTTAGGGTAAGGTTAACGGTTAGGCTTAGGGTAAGGTTTAGGGTAAGATTAAGGATTTGGGTTAGGGTTAAGGGTTAGGATGAGGGTTAGAGTAAGGTTTAGGGTTAGGTTAAAGGTTAGGCTTAGGGTTAGGTTTAGGGTAAGGTTAAGGATTTGGGTTAGGGTTAAGGGTTAGGATGAGGGTTAGAGTAAGATTTAGGGTTAGGTTAAAGGTTAGGCTTAGGGTTAGGGTAAGGTTTAGGGTAAGGTTAAGGATTTGGGTTAGGATTAGGATTAGGGTTAAGGGTTAGGATGAGGATTACAGTAAGGTTTAGGGTTAGGTTAAAGGTTAGAATTAGGGTTAGGGTAAGGTTTAGGGTTAGGTTAAGGGTTAGGGTTAGGGTTAGGATAAGGTTAAAGGTTAGCGTTAGGGTTTTACCATTACAGGACCCTTACATTCCTTCTAGAATATCTGTGTTCCGTTCCCGAAGGTGCGAAGCGGAATCAGCGTAACGCCCAGAGCTTTCACACTCTTACCGAGAGCAGCCCCCTCCCCTCCCAAGTCTCCCCCCCCCTCCCGCCACGGACGCGCCTGCGCACTGGGGCCGCGGCGCCTGCTTACCGGGCAATGAGCGCGGTCCAGTTGTAGAGGATGGGGAAGGTGACGACGAGGAGCCAGCGGTAGTACCGCTTCCCGGCGGGGTCCAGCACGGCCGCCTTCTTCCGGCCCTCCTGCTCCGTCCGCGGGAGGCCCTCCCCGCTCTCGGCCGACAAGCCCTGCGGGTGGGGGCCCCAGAAGCGCTCCAGGAAGGAGTCCCGCCGCGCCTCCGTCCGCTTTATCCCTTGGCTCAGCCATCCGCGGAACAGCTGCGTTAGGTGGGAGACCCTGCGACGGGGCGGGAGAAGGGGGCGGGGTCAGGCCTCGGAGGGAACGCCCCCAGCGCCGCGCCACGCCCCCTCCCCGCCCCATCGTACCTGGAGGGCTCCTTGGGCTTCTCGGGGGCGCTGCGGTTGCCCGAAGTGGAGACCCGCCGCTGCTGCTGCTTGGAGGGGGAGGCGTCCTGGGGGCCACTGGAGGGCTCTCTGGGGGAGAAGGAAGGGAGGGCCCTCAGACTCAGGCATGGGAGCCAAAGAGCCCTCTGAGCAGCCACTAGGATCCTTAAGTGTGGCATCTCCACCTCATACTTCCTGATATACGCATCCCTCTACTAACAATGTGTTGTCGAAGGATTTCATGGGTTGTGAGTTTTCCGGGATGTATGGCCGTGTTCCAGCAGCATTCTCTCCTGACGTTTCACCTCCATCTATGGCAGGCATCCTCAGAGGTCGTGAGGTCTGTTGGAAACTAGGAAAATTGGGTTTATACATCTGTGGAATGTCCCAGGTTGGTAGAAAGAACTCTTGTCTCTTGGAGGTAGGGGTCAATGTTTCAATTGTCTACTTTGATTAGAATGTAATGGCCTAACAGTTTCAAAGTCTGGCTTCTTGCTGCCTAGGGGAATCCTTTGTTGGGAGGTGATTAGCTGGCCCTGATTGGTGTGAATGTTTCAATTGGCCACCTTCATTAGCATTTAATGGCATAATAATGATATGATTATATAATTATTATGGGAAGTCTGACTTGGCCACGGTAGTCCACACTCTGGTTACATCCTGCATAGACTACTGCAACGCTCTCTACGTAGGGTTGCCTTTGAAGACTGCTCGGAAGCTTCAAATGGTCCAGCGTTCGGCAGCCAGGTTGCTAAAAGGAGCGGCACTCAGGGAGCATACTACTCCTCTGTTGCGCCAGCTCCACTGGCTGCCAGTTTGCTACTGGGCACAATTCAAAGTGCTGGCGTTAGCCTATAAAGCCCTAAACGGTTCTGGCCCTACTTACCTCTCCAAACGCATCTCCTCCTATTAACCAACTAGGACACTAAGATCATCTGGGGAGGCCCTGCTCTCGGTCCCGCCTGCATCACAGACGCGCTTGGTGGGGACGAGAGACAAGGCCTTCTCAGTGGTGGCCCCTCGGCTATGGAACGCCCTGCCTGCAGATATCAAATCGGCCCCCTCCCTGCTGGCATTTCGGAGGAAAGTGAAGACCTGGCTGTTCGACAATACAATAATAACTATCTTTATTTATACCCCACCACCATCTCCCCAAGAGGACTCAGGGTGGCTAACATGAGGCCAAGCCCAAAAATTACAATAAGGCAAAGTAAAATACAAACAAGCAAGTAAAAACGTCAAATAAAGTGCAAACAATAACAATAACAAAGTATACTATAAAATGAACACAAAATAAAATGGTAAAGGAATTAAAATAGTGGGCTGGGCCAAATGCAAGGGATAAACTTATAAAACCCTGGATGGGAGACTCAGATGAGACAAACAATGGGGTTAAACTTCACTAAGGGACGAGAGAAAGTGCAGTTTCAAGGTGTGGCCTTGGAGAATCCTTTGTTGAGAGATAGTTAGCTGTCCCTGATTCTTTCTTGTCTGGAGTTCTCCTGTTTTTGAGTGTTGTTCTTTATTTACTGTTATGATTTTGGAGCTTTTTAAAAAAATACTGATAGCCAGATTTTGTTCATTTTCGTGGTTTCCTCCTTTCTGTTGAAATTGTCCACATGCTTGTGGATTTCAATGGTTTTCCTGTGTAGTCTGACATGGTGGTTGTGAGAGTAGTCCAGCATTTCTGTGTTCTCAAATAATATGTGTGCCCAGGTCGTCCCAGTAGACTTCCACATCTATGTCTAGAGGATCAAGTCCAGCATGACCAAAAGTCATCATGGATAGTAAGGTGTGTCCAGGTTGGTTCATCAAGATAGCCAGCTGAAACATTCACACCTCCAACAGACAAGACTCTTTGCCTTCCCACCCTGGACATTCCACAGATATATAAACCCCACTTGCCTAGTTTCCAACAGACCTCACAGCCTCTGAGGATGCCTGCCATAGTTGTGGGTGAAACGTCAGGAGAGAATGCTTCTGGAACATAGCCATACAGCCCGGAAAACTCACAACAACCCTTTGCTAACACTTCCTGCATGGCAGAATGGGGTTGGACTGGATGGCCCTGACAAGCGTCCTATGCTAGTTATTTGTTATGTATATAATTCATATTGCTTACTATATTATATATGTATGCAGCTTTCCCTTAACTCTTTGTTGTTTGAGGTTGTGGGAGGGAGGGACTGCAGACCTTGTGATCAGATCTGGGACTATTCAGATTGAGACTCCATTTTTGAAGTCAGTGTGTGTATGTAGTATTCTCTTGTTATGTATTAGACATGAGACTCTCAGATTGAAAAGACGCCATGTAGACTTTGTGCTACAATCAACTCATGTTGCTGTTGATTGTAAGAAAGATGCCCTGCGTTATCTGCACAGATAAACCACTTCAAAACCTATCTGTAACTGCACTGACAAGCTATTTACCTGTATGCTGAATACATGAAGGTTGTGAGTAAACTAAATATGTTACTTTTAATAAAGACTACTTGTTTTGTCTCTTGAGAGCATGATTTAAAACCAAATATATTTCTGGGCAACTAAAACAACACTTTTGAAGGTCTGCTATATGTTTTGTGCATTGGGATCTTTGTTCCTAAGATTTCAAAGATATAACCAGGTATAGCAGTCTAACAACTGAGAAATCGAATCTGCCTTGCATGAATACTAGTGGATATATACCACTAAAGAGTAGATTCACTCAAATAAGCATATTGGCCTTGCCAAGGCCAGCTAACACCAACCTGGAGTTGTGGTCGCTGTACTGGATCCGTTCCTTCAAGGAGTCCCTCCTGGCCGGCACTGGTGGGTAGTGGTTGGCATCGGGGTTGGCCTCGGTGGCCTGGCCTTCCTCTGTCTCCATCCTCTGCCAGGCAAGGCAAGGGCACCACCTCTTCAGCACCACCACAACTGTCAGGAGAATAGAGAGTTTCTTTCTCGACACAAGAACTTTTAAAGTCTAACTATCAGTCAGTGTCCTTTGGCCAGACACCACAATAATCATCATCATCATCATCATCATCATCATCATCATCAAAAATACATTATACAGTGTTAAATGCTTAGGAAGTATTCAACTAGTGATTTTGTGATATGAAATCCAGCACATATAAATTGTTTGCTGTGTCATACTGTGTTTTTGTGTCAGAACAACAACAACAACAACAATAGAAAACTGGCAAAAGAAGGCTCTCCATGGACAGTTCCTGGCAATAATTGAGAGTCAAATTGACAAAGAAAAAACATGGATGTGGCTCACAAATGGAACTTTGAAAAAGGAGACGGATGGCCTGATTCTGGCAGCCCAAGAACAAGCCATTAGAACCAATGCCATGAAAGCCAGAATTGAAAAGTCAGCAACAGATGCCAAGTGTAGACTCTGCAAGGAAGCAGATGAAACAATAGATCACATCCTCAGCTGCTTCAAGAAGATCGCGCAGACACACTACAAGCAGAGGCATAACACGGTTGCTCGGATGATCCATTGGAATGTGTGCCACAAATGCCATCTGCCTGCGACAAAGAACTGGTGGGATCACTAGCCAGAAAAAGTTACAGAAAATAAACACATCATGCTATTCTGGGACTTCCGAATTCAGACAGACAGAGTTTTGGAGCATAATACTCCTGACCTCACGATGTTGCAATTCCAGGTGACAGCAGGATTGAAGAGAAACAAATGGAAAAGCTGACATGATACGAGGATTTAAAGATCAAACTGCAAAGACTGTGGCACAAGCCAGTCAAGGTGGTGATCATACTGGGTGTAGTGCCTAAAGACCTTGGCCTGCACTTAAACACAATCAGCACTGAAAAAATTACCATCTGCCAGCTGCAAAAGGTCACCTTACTGGGATCTGCATGCATTATTCGTCGATACATCACACAGTCCTAGACACTTGGGAAGTGTCCGACATGTAATCCAATGCAACAGCCAGCAGAGTGATCTTGTCTGCTGTGGACTCATCTTGTTGTGATGATGATGATGATGATGATGATGATGATGATGATGATAATAATTATAATAATAATACATCACACAGTCCTAGACACTTGGAAAATGTCCGACGTGTACTCCAATACAACAGCCAGCAGAGAGATCTTGTCTGCTGTGGATTCATCTTCTTAAATTAATAATAATAATAATAATTATTATTATTATTATTATTATTATTATTATTATTATTAATTTCTAGACCTCACCTCTCTCCCAAAAGGGACTTGGGGAAGTTTATAGCACAAAAACAGGCAAACATTCAATGCCATACAAAGTAACAAACAACATCAGGAATAACACAAAATAATGCACAATAATAGCAATAAACTTATAATGAAAAAATTAAAGATTGAGATGGATTAACCGATTAGACAATAAACTAGGAAGTGTAAACATTAAACATAAAATTAAAAACAGTTAGACACGACTTGCATATGAAATGGCTAACACAGGTGTTTATTAAAATGTATCATAGGCATCACATAGCACAGTGTTCAGGTGGAATAGTATCTTAGTCCTCCTCCTCTCCATATGCTAAAGTGCATAAGTGCATTAAAGGAGAGGAGGGTGGGGGCCATTTTTATTTCTTTATGGAGGGAGTTTCCTCCTCTGGACACATTCAAGCTTGTCAATATCCCACAATTCAAGAGAGATATTGACAAGCTGGAATGTGTCCAGAGGAGGGCGACTAAAATGATCAAGGGTCTGGAGAACAAGCCCTATGAGGAGAAGCTTAAGGAGCTGGGCATGTTTAGCCTGAAGAAGAGAAGGCTGAGAGGAGATATGATAGCCATGTATAAATATGTGAGAGGAAGCCACAGGGAGGAGGGAGCAAGCTTGTTTTCTGCTTCCTTGGAGACTAGGACACAACAATGGCTTCAAACTACAAGAGAGGAGATTCATCTGAACATGAGGAAGAACTTCCTGACTGTGAGAGCTGTTCAGCAGTGGAACTCGCCCGGAGTGTGGTGGAGGCTCCTTCTTTGGAAGCTTTGAAACAGAGGCTGGATGGCTATCTATCAGGGGTGATTTGAATGCAATATTAGTGCTTCTTGGCAGAATGGGGTTGGACTGGATGGCCCATGAGGTCTCTTCCAACTCTCTGATTCTATGATTCTATGATTCTATGACAGGGAGCGATCATGGAGAAGGCCCTCTCTCTCGTTCCCACCAGCCGAGCTTGAGATGGGATGGGACCGAGAGCAGGGCCTCCTCCGCTTACTGCAATGCACAGGATGGTCTATATAGGGTGATGCAATTGGACAAATTGCTTGGACCTAAACAATGGCAGCATGAGCTTGCTTTCACTAGGCCCCCTCCCCAGATGGGACCCTGGGAGACCCCACGGCTTCACCAAGTTGGACCAGAAGTTTGGGAGGAGAGCCTATTCCTGCTGTGCACATGAATGTACATACATATATGCACATAGACACAGAGAGAGGGATCCAGAGCAAAACTGAGTAGTCAGGAACCACCCAGTCACCTATGGTCTCTCTTGAGCCCCTCCACCCCCTTCCAGCTCCCTGTTAGCATTGTTCAAGGCTTCTCCCAATGGCTTTCATCTTTAGTGCTGTTGTTGTTGCTGTAGTAACAGCATCCTCCTCAGGGCCCTCCCTCCCTGGCAACAGGTGTGCAATGCTCCCATGCGTCACTCTCCCCCATGGGAGCAAGCCAAGCGCTTTGAAAACCAGGCTCTTCTTCCATGAGCGTTTGCCCACTTCTGGGAGGGGGGGGGACAAAAGGGGGGACATCAAAGGCAAGATATAGAACAAGCCCGCTCCCAAATTTCCCATGCCAACAGCCCCTAGATGGGTTTTACAATAGCTGAACAGAGTAAGTAGCACCATCAGCATCAACCAATTCTGAGACTCAATGTAAGACAGTGTTTCTCAGCCTGGGGGTCAGGACCCCCTGGGGGATCACTAGGGGGTTTCAGAGGGGTCGCCAAAAACCACCAGAAGACACATATTTCTGATGGTCTTAGGAATCCCTTTGGCAGGGAAGGATGAAGATCTCTCCACCTGTCCTTCTCTACATTTTAGGAAACAGACAGCAAATCCTCCCATCAAAAGCCCTCCTCCTGTTGTGATTGTAGGTGAACTATATATCCCGGTAACTACAACTCCCAAATGTCAAGGTCTATTTCCCTAAAACTCCACCAGTGTTCACATTTGGGCATATTGAGTATTCATTCCAAGTTTGGTCCAAACAGTCCACTGTGGACTGTTTGAGTCCACAGTGCTTTCTGGATGTTGGTGAACTACAACTCCAAACCTCAAGGTCAATGCCCACCAAACCCTTCCAGTATTTTCTGTTGGTCATGGGAGTTCTGTGTGCTAAGTTTGGTTCAATTCCATCATTGGCGGAGTTCAGAATGCTCCTTAATTGTAGGTGAACTATAAATCCCAGCAACTACAACTCCCAAATGTCAAGGTCTATTTCCTTAAAACTCCACCAGTGTTCACATTTGGGCATATTGAGTATTCATGCCAAGTTTGGTCCAGATCCATCACTGTTTGAGTCCACAGTGCTCTCTGGACATCGGTGAACTACAACTCCAAAACTCAAGGCCAATGTCCACCAAACCTTTACAGTATTTTCTGTTGAGCATGGGAGTTCTGTGTGCCAAGTTTGGTTCAACTCCATCATTGGTGGAGTTCAGAATGCTCTTTGATTGTAGGTGAACTACAAATCCCAGCAACTACAACTCCCAAATGTCAAGGTCTATTTTCCCCAAACTCCACCAGTGTTCACATTTGGGCATACTGAGTATTTGTGCCAAGTTTGGTCCAGATCCATCATTGGTTGGGTTCACAGTACTCTCTGAATGTAGGTGAACTACAATCCAAAACTCAAGGTCAATGCCCACCAAACCCTCCAGTATTTTCTGTTGGTCATGGGAGTTCTGTGTACTAAGTTTGGTTCAATTCCATCATTGGTGGAGTTCAGAATGCTCTTTGTTGTAGGTGAACTATAAATGCCAGCAACTACAACTCCCAAATGTCAAGGTCTTTTTTCCCCAAACTCCACCAGTGTTCACTGGTTGAGTTCACAGTACTCTCTGAATGTAGGTGAACTACAACTCCAAAACTCAAGGTCAATACCCACCAAACCCTTCCAGTATTTTGTGTGGGTCATGGGAGTTTTGTGTGCCAAGTTTGGTTCCATTCCATCATTGGTGGAGTTCAGAATGCTCTTTGATTGTAGGTGAACTATAAATCCCAGCAACTACGACTCCCAAATGACAAAATCAATACCCCCCCCCCAACCCCACCAGTATTCAAATTTGGGCATATCGGGTATTGTAGGCAATCAATCAATGCCCCCCCACCCAACTCTACCAGTATTCAAATTTGGGTGTATGGGGGTAGTTGTGCCAAATTTGGTCCAGTGAATGAAAATGCACTCTGCATATCAGATTCATACCAGTAGCAAAATGACAGTTATGAAGTAGCAATGGAAATAATTTTATGGTTGGGGGTCACTACAACATGAAGAACTGCATTAAGGGGTCACAGCACCAGGAAGGCTGAGAAACACTGGTGTAAGAAATGGGTCCGTGAAGCATGTGCCTTGCTAGGAATCAACAAATTGGAGCTCCCAATTTGTGGCCAAATGGGGAGAGGGCTGTCTATCATGAGACCCCGGGAGCCCAGTCTCGACTTCCGGTTCAGCTATAACTCAACTAGGTGGCCTTCCTCCTCTTGGGTGCCAAAGGCTGCCTCATGCCCACAGAGGCCAACTCTACCCATCCCGTGGCATGTGGGTGCATCGCCAAGCTCTCCATGTCTGGAGAACAACAAGGAGAAAGACCCCATTATGGGAATATGGAGGTCCCAAGGACAGGATCCTCCCAATTTCCTCTC